CAGACTTTTTTCCCCCAAGTCATTTTGGGTCATTTCCGTTAATCCATTTATTTTTATTTATCATGAAATTTACATACAATGTAAAGGGTAACAGGCATTTTCAAGTTACATCAAAAACTAAAAAAATTTAAAAATGGAGATACAAGGTTTTCTTCTGACAACAGCGATATAGGAGTTTATAATTAACCACAATCCAACAAGAAGAACAGTGACTGCATTTCACTTTGGCATCAATTCCTCTCCATAAGAAACAAAAGAATTATACAGAAAAGAACATACCTGGGTTTTGTTAATGGAGCCCACTGGGCCTGGAGTGAACTGTTTGGCTAAATTAAGAAAGGCTAGTTCAAATAAGGGCAGCTTTGAAATATCTCCTGAAGAACACTTGGAAACGCTATGGCTATGGAGTACTACATGAATAACTAACCACAGACAAACTAACACAACTAGCGGCAGGTTTGAGGATAATAAAGGGACGGAGCTGGAATGTTCCAAGAAAATCTAATTCATCAGACTTTTCTTACAAATGTTACATCTGACCATCTATTACTGTCTATTATAGTGAACCCAGCCATGGGCTAAACTGTAACACTGCATTTCCTGTCATTCTCAGTGGACTTGTACATGAACGGTAGGTGCTAGAAAGTTCAGGTGTTCGTAAAAAAATAACAACAGAGGCATTTGTGAGCTATTTCAAAGAGATATTATTACAGTTCCTTGAGTCATATTTTATTGGAATAAATTTGTGAAAGATCTGAATTGGAAAATAGAAAATAAAGACTCAAACTGGTAACTAAAGAAAATTTCTAGGAACTAAAAGAAGTCTTGTTTAATATATTACGCATATACTACCCAACAAACTGTTATTTGACTGAATTAAAAAAGATCTTAATCCAAACTGCTACTTTGGCAATGTACCCTGAAACTGTACTTCATTTATTTTGTACTATTTATTTTTTACAAATACATTTTATATATTTTCACAAAATACATGAAAATCTGCCCAAAAAAAGGACACATTAGAAAACAGTATGGTCATGTTAACAACAATATGAAATACAAGCTGTATTTTGACAAACAAATACAGCTTTTAAACTTTCAAAGGCAATAATAAGCGATTGCTGATGTATTGCCCTCAAAAATACGCAGCTTAGTTTGTAAGAAGTCACTAGGTGGCACTGTCGGCCTTTTAAACTGATGCAGTTATAAACTGCTGTGAAGAACCAAAAGCTTTGTGTCATTTTTAGTATCCCTGCCAAACATCTAAGAAACCTGGACAAAAACTATAAACAATTTTAATAAAATGATTAAATGATTTGATTTCATCTTGATTGTATCTTATTTCCATAACTTGCAGAGCTCATCAGTGTTTTGAGAGCATTTTTTAAATGTTGTATATGATAAGACCCAAGATCCCATGCAAACTGAAAGCCAAATGAACAGCAATAATGTATTGTAAGCACAACTATTCCTCGTACACATTTGTAAAACTTTTATACTTAATTGCCTGTGCCAAATAGGTCACAGGTCGTTTCCACTTCCTACTATTGCAGAACTATGTACAGTCAGTACAAAGCCAAGGGAACATCTGCACATCCATTACTTCAGTAATAAACTGGGTACATTAACTGCTGACATCGATTGTGGACGGTACAGATGGCTGGGGCAACGGCCTCTCCTCAACAGGTCTGACTAAAATGCACATGGTATGGCCAAAAGTATGTGGACACGCATCCAAGTTATTGAGTTCAGGTGTTTCAGTCACACTCATTGCTAACAGGTCAGCAGGTGGCTGAGCAGCTGCACAAAAGCCTAAGCGTCAATGCCAAGCGTCAGTTGGAGTGGTGTAAAGCATGCCGACTTTGGAGCAGTGGAAACGTATTCTCTGGAGTGATTAATCACACTTCTCTATCTGGCAGTCTGATGGGTGAATCTGCATTTGGCAGATGCCAGGAGAATGTTACATACCAGAATGCATAGTACTGACAGTGAAGTTTGGTGGAGGAGGGATAATGGTCTGGGGCTGTTTTTCAGGGTTTTGGCCTCTTAGTTCCAGGGATAATTTTACAGTCATAAAATCATAACATTAATGTTATTACCATACTTTAATCTTCACTCAGCTTCAGTGGCAGCTGCAAACTGCATGTTGTCCCAGAAACTCCTCAGAGACATTTAATGAGTCATAAAATGACAATTTAACAAATAAGGAGTCATTACTTGACTGAGCTAAAACAGTAATGAATGACACTTCTGCTTTCCACCTGTATATTTTCACCATAATCTCAAGATACAGTGTTGATGTGAAAAATAAAGTGGATACTATAAAGCCATGCACTGAATAATAATAAAAGTAATCAGATAATTTGTAGTCGAAGAGGCCCAGACAATATATTCGACGGAACCAGAGAATTTGCATCTATCTATATTTTATATCTGTATTTTAGAAAAATGTGTTAGTTAACTGAACCTATCATCAATTTAGTCCACACTCTTCATCTTTATTTGGTCTGCTGCAAATACAACCCAAGCAGTTTAACAGGCTTTCAGGACTGTTTCAAAAACTGTTCAATTCTCTTAACCATTTCTGGATCAAAATACTTCATGAATGTAATATAATATAATATAATGTACTGACTGGGCAAATACATTTGTCTTAATCTTTGTGCTGTAAATTGGTCATTTCTTAACTCAACAGGCCACAAGGTGGAACCATTGAGGCCATACTTGTACAGGCATTCCTAGGACCTGTAATTCTACTGAGTACAGAGGATGACTGTGGCCTTCAGCATCTAAAATTGGACCCTCACTCTAGGCCAGTATTGGTCAGTTGTGGTAGGGATTCCCAATGGTTTGATGTAATGAGTGAAAAAAAAACAACAATACAAAATCGTGAATTCACAAAATGCCGAAGTTGAGAGAGACACTACTGTGCAACAGAATGCTACATAATATGACTCAACATTACTTTAATGCTGCAATGCTCATTCAAATTCAGAAGAAATGAGAAGACCTCAATGAATTGAAAATAATGATCTGTTGGGTCTTACCCAATCACTGGACAATTAATAAAGGGGCACTCAGATGCCCCTTTTTCAGATGTGCTGTGTCCCTGCACCAACTCAATCCCTACCCTTTCCCTTCTCAACTATCTCAGACACCCTAATGTCCCACACTACTGTTTCTTAAGGTATGAGCAGTGTTAGATCTATGCTATATGTAACTTTATGAATTTTGGCCATTTTTTACATGCAGAAAATCTCAAACAAAGGGGCCCAGTCCTGGAGATCTACCATCCTGAAGGGCTTCAGAGGGCTACAGAAAACTCAATAACTATATATATATATATATATATATATATATATATATATATATATATATATATATATATATAGTTTTTTCTTTCTTTCAAATGTACTATTCTTTGCCTTTATTACAGCTTCCAGTTTTTCAAAGAAATCTGCAGGGATATTTTTCCACACCTCCAAAGTTCAGTCTTAGAAGTTGGGTTCATTTACATTTTATGGCATTTGGCAGACGCTCTTATCCAGAGCGACTTACAATTTGATCATTTTACACAGGTAGGCGAAGGTAGCGTTAGGAGTCTTGTCCAAGGACTCTTATAGGTGTAGTGAACCCCAGTCTACAGTGTAGAATGCAGAGGTGTTACCCACTACACTACACCAACCACATCACTGTGCCTCTTCGGAGATGCTGGGGATTGAACCCAGGACCTCATACATGTGAATCATTCTGTGATGTTGAAGTCTGGGGTGGACAGTCCAGTTCTGAGAACACCAGCAACTTCAGTTTTGATTTGTAAATTTTGTATTAGATTTTTCATAATACATTTACATTTAACATTAAGATAATGATATTGTTTACCAAAAAGTCATTCCTCTTGACTAATACCAAATTGTCTAACTTAGCATTCTTTGAGGAGAATCAGTCATGTGTAGCATTCCAGAAAATACAAGTATAAATCCAATTAAATAAAAGGTGTTCAGTTCTTTCACTATTGAAATTACATAATACCAAAATGACATTGTCTCTAGGTAAGAAAAATTGGGCATTACAAATGCACATTTGTGTTATGCTTGGCCTTTAACAGCAGTTGTCAAATGTTTATTGAATCATGGTCAGGAACTTTTCTTTGTGAAACGTTTTAAAGATATATATATCCAACTTCTGAGCAACTACCATGGATACTACCAATCTTGATGCTCACTTTCCTCTGTTGGTCCTTTATTACCAGTTGGTCCATCTTCCTACCTGTTACAGAATAACACTGATATGCTGGCTGCTGAGTTTGACTTTAGGGATTAAACGCTCTCTCTTGCAGAGATTAGCTCCAGTAATACCCGTAAATCCCTTAACGGGGAAACCCTTAATGGTGTGAGGAGGGAACTCTCTAAAGGAACTGGACAACACACATTTCAAAGGTCTAGTGCTTGGTGCACCCATGTCCACCAATGCAAATATATCAGTTATTTGCTGATTTGACACGTGCACTTTGTGTACAAACTCAGAATTGTGACCATGGAGGCAGTTCTAAGCAGCTAGCAGAAATGCCATTCCACAACAATGCACTTCTCTATGTTTTCCTAGGCCATAGATTTTTCTTTCTCATGGATAAACTTTATCCTTCACTGGGGAGCGTGACTAGAAGCATCAGAGTCAATGATGAAGGTTCAGCCTGCTTGGCTTGTTACGTAACCGTTGCTTTCTAATCTGCACGTGCAAGGTAACCTGCTCCAAGTCACATGCCATGCCCATGCCACACCTCTTCTATAGAACCTTATTAATAGCCAAGCTAACACTGTGTGCAGTTTCCCTTGTGAATCTCTGCTGGGATAGGCAGGTGCATGTGGGGAGTTTTGGATCGGATCTCAACTTCACCCTTGGCTGACCATGCAAGAACCGTATCTGATCGTGTCCTGTTTTTTCCTCAGTTTGCTTCGAAGACAGAGTTCCTGTCTTATGTCCTGTTGTTTCTGGTGAAGATGCCGTTCCCTCCAGCAAGCCGGCCAAAAAGCCTGTCGAGAGAAGTTACAGAGAAGTTGCTGTGTCCATCACAGGTGCTTCCTGTTAGGGCTACGGACAAAAAGAGTTCTATTGATTACAGATTGAAGCAGCTGGGCAAGAAGGCGACACAGTATAAGAGTAAACTCCCCACCAGCCATGCTACCTCCATGCTGCGACTGGAAGGCAAGAGTGCTTGGATCACAAGCCCACAACTTGATGGCTGTTCAAGTTCTTCAACAAACGCCTCAAGGACCAGTTCCTTGGGCACCACCTCTGGTAGAGGCGTCTCAGCTACAAGATCTAGCAAAGGCACGTCACCAAACAGCGGGTCAGCAACAAGCACCTCGGCAAGTAGCCCTCGAGCCTCTTCAGGCAGCTCGGATTCGAGTCTCGCAGACAAGAACGGTGAGGCCATGAGCTTCTCTCTGAGCTTGACGCCTGAGGCTGTCGTGATTCTGCAAAGACGTAGCCACGAAAAGCAGCTCCGTGTGGCACGCAGTACCTCAAGCAAAGCAGCCCTTCGGCAGAGGGAGCTCTCAGCCAAATCTGGTCCTCGATCCAACATCCCGCTTGTAAAAATCTCCCTCTTGAATGACCACCATCAGTATGACGATGTGGAGTACGAAGAAGTGGTGGAGCAGGGCGTTGACCAGAGTGTGCTGCTGAAATGCACAGAGTGGCTACGTGGAGTCGAAAAGGCTTCTGAGGTTTCGACACTTGGTAAAGTGGTGAAGAGCAACCAGAAGACTATCTAGTACAGTGGCTGTGAGCTGCTAAAAAAATGCCTATTCTATGCATTCTAAACAAGGCCTTAGTTAGGCTACTTGAAATGAAACCTCTGTAAATGTTCAAATGTGCTGCTGAAAGGGAAATTAGAAATGTCTGAAGATTTTGCGATAAGAAATTGGATTGTCTATATATGGAATTGAGGTGTTCAGCATGCCATGTGTCAATGCCTATACCTTTTCCTTGAATGTGTCTGTCAGATCTCCATGTTATAATAATTGCACCTAATTTAAGAACAAATCAAGCTCTAAATAAAATATTTAAGTAAAACTATTTATATGCATCTTTAATGTGGCTTTTGCTTTGATTTAACCTTTGATTTAGCCTTTGAATCACCTCTGTAGCTGCTGAAGGAGGCTTAACGCTCTACTAAGTTGCCTGCTTGTAGCATCCTCTGATCTTATTAGCAGACGGCTAAGTCACACATGGAGCCCCATGTGCTTGAACATGTTACCACAGAATCAAGCCTAATCCTCCATTATATTAGTGCAGTTTTTATGTCACATTAAGTCTCTTTTTAAATGGTTTTAAGTACACAATATTTGTGACATGTCCATTTGTTTCTACCAGGACTATCCACAGCGCCATGTACCTATTTATACTGAGACTAACACTTCTTTATGGTTAGGGTCAATGGCATAATTTGGTTCTTCTGCCTCAACTATTTTTCCAAAACCTAAAAGTATACATTTTAATTAATGAATTGAAGGAAAGATTTGCTGATGTGCCGTCTTGCCAGTTGCTCAGTTATAAAAAGCTTGAGGTGTGTTTTTTGAGTAATTTTAAAAGTAACAGCACATATATATCATCGCTGTCAAAGAAAAATCATATTAATTTTTGTCAATTTCTATTTTTCTACTTAATTTGAACACAGCAGCTGTCCTTTAGTTTGTGTGGATATTTAATGATGAATTGGTCAACAGAAACGCTTCACAATCACTTGGAATAAAATCATTTTACATCAAATTATTTTGACACTAAAAACTGTTTAGATTCTTTCTACATCCTGTTTATGCTTTTAGTTAATCCAGGGGAGAGGAATCTTATGTTGAACATGAAAAAAACTTCAAAAGAAGGCCACCCACCAAAGTTCAATTTTGCCTCTCTTATGGAAGATGTGGGAGACCACCAATTCCGACTCTGCTTTTAATTGAACTTCTAGTCATTACTTTACCAAAGTAACTGCATTTTTCTTGAGTTTGGACAAAGGCAAAGGAATTCTTCACAAATTGTAAGTAGGTTAAGAGTTTTTGCATTGCAAGGTTTGGAAAATCTGCTTCAGGGTTACAGAGAGTGAACTCAAAATCGTTTACATGTCTTTTACATTGGGAATGCACAGTCAAATCAGGGCAACACCCCTTTTCCATTCCAGTTCATAAAGAGATGAGCCCTATAATTTGAGTAACAAACAAGTTTGAGTCTCCTGCTACTGTGACAGGCCATTTGTTAGGTACATACACCTGGGCTTAAAGATTCTTTTCTTGGAGAGCATAGCAACATCAGTCAAGCCACTCTTTGGATCTCTACTTTTACTTTTGGATCTCATTCTACTTCGCATCTTGGATAATTGTGCCACATAAATACTAGTAAGGTGGGTTTTGCCCTTTTTTATTTAATGACTTCTGATCATTTGTCTATTGCTCTACAATTTGCCATATTCAGATCATTTTTTGTATTTACATATTTAGTTATTGCATTTAGTGACAAGCAGACGCCACTAATGAAACTGCCAATGCGAGATTTGTTTTGCTCTGTGTCAAAATGTTTGCCTGATAAGCTGCTGCAATTACAGTTTTGTTGTTTATAAGAACGGCAGCATTTAAAGCCTGCTGCTCTTGCTATTTTAGGCCTTTCATATTAAAGTCAATGGTATACATTTTATCCACCATTTCAAATAGAGTGCTGCACTTCTAAGTGTAAACACAGTGAACTGAATTGTTTTTTAGCGGTTTATGAGATTGAGTTAAAGGGGAATTTCGCAGTTCAGTGGTTGAGATGTATTTAAAGTCGCTCAGATTGCTTTAATGTGAAATGGTTCATTGTAGAGAAATGCACCTACTTTACTGGTGGTGACAGGAACTAGAGCTTACATGATGCCTACAACTCCAATGTAGTGATATTCTGTACTGTCCAAACCCACCAGTAAATCGAAACATACTGTGAATTTGTAATGTTATGCTGATGGTAAAAACAGATATAAATCTTCAAAAACAAGCAGTTATGTATCACAACTTCTCGAATCCATTAAAGGACTTTAAAAATAGAATTTAGGCCAAAACTTCTCTCAAAACTATCCTAGACATCAGGCAACGTTTTAATAACCATTTCATTTAACTGTAGACGTCTGGTTCCTGATTCAGTAAGTTTCTCTCAGACTTCAGACTTCACCACTCTGAATAACTTGGTTTACATCGTTTTTGGAAGAATGGGTGGAATTCTCCTTTCAGTATGAAAAAAAAAGGGGTGAAAGTCTACTTTCTAGCTTTTGAAGGCCGATTGAGAGGACTCAACTTCTCAAAACATCATAACATCACCAAACACCATCATTATCCTCCTTTAACAAAGCTGATCAGTTAATTTAGCCATCTTTAAATACTTCACAGACTTATTTAAGTGTTGTGAAGTGCTGATATCCAAGCAAGTACAATTTCAAGCTGAAAGACCAAAGCTGCACTATGTAAGACTTTTTGCTAAAATTAAACGAAGTAGCTGGTCTGTAAAGCCTGAAATAATCATTTGAAATTCAGGTTGGAATCTGCAGTTTTTCAGAACACGTCACACTTCTTTAAGTATTAACGTCACACGCACAGGCTCAAAAAGAAGGCCCGGCTGGAGGTACGGCCTCAAATACAGAATCAGCATTATACTGATTAAGATATGATGACAGTAGATAATTCACTCGTGTGTGAAGACTCGTTCTTTGTTGTCAACAAATTCTACAAAAGTTGTCTTTGAATTGTCTTTCAACGCACTCGCAATCATCAGATTCATCCACTTGGACAAGGGGAAGGTTTCCAAATACACAAAACTGACATAGTATAGTTTTAAACAGAATAGTAGTGATAGGAGAAGTATGAGTTTACATAGATTTAATATATCAATACATACATTAAAAAGGTGAGAGAGAGTTAGCGTGTTACTGAATTGATTTTTATGTTTATGTAGCATGCAAAGGAGCCAAGTGCCTAAAAATATTTTAGAAGTGTTTTCTATGTGGTGTTAGGCCTTTGTGATACCCAAAAAAAGCACAATATTTTCTAGTTAAAAAATCATTTATAGATTACTGATATGGCCTCCCCACCCAAAAAAAAAACAAAACGTGGTCCACGATAGATATGCTCTACTTTCTATTCTTTTTTAGTCTTATATGCTTTTTTAAATATTAACTGTTTTAATGAAAATCTTTTATAAAAGTGATGTTAAATAATATGATACTGAGTAACCCAACATCCTTTGAGAACTACCAGCTTTGAGACTTTATAATAAACGTTACTGCAAACACATGCGTTCATAAACTTCTTCTGTCGCAGATTTGTGGCAACTTACATGCTAATAGCACTCCCTGCGGGAGAAACTTCAAACTGCAAATCATCTCCAAAGCCACATCCACAAGCTGTCCACATTAAAAAGAGGAGTTTTCCATCATTACAGTGGCATTTTCATTGATCGCCATTGTATTACTTATCCATTATCGACGATATCAGATTACATCACCCTATGTGGTAGTACTAGTGGTTAGCCTAAAATACTAAAATACCCCAAAAATGTGAAAGTTCATCCTTTTTTACTAAGCTAAAAAGCAAAAGATAGCGTCTAACTAAAGAGTATTTCATCTCATTGCTATTTTATAATTACTATAATGCAGTAGTGATATGGCATGATGTATAATATGGATTTTTGTATTTAAATGTGTCTACAGATGGATGAGTTGGATGAGACTCAGCTGAAGAATGAGGTGGACAGTCTGAAACTTCAGCTGCAGATCACGAGAGAGAAATCCTCTGTAACCATCCCTGAGTGAGTGGTAAACACATATTTAGATATGTGCTATAAGCCATAAAGGGTGAATACCCATATCGTGTTAAAAACAGTAAGTTTATGGGATTAGGTAAAAATGACCTTTATTGTGCATTAAAAACAAGTTTTAATTCTACGCAATTTGGGACTGTTAGCCTTGGGTCTACTTATCACTGTTCACACAGTGTAAAAATGTACATGGTGTTTTCATATGGCATAAAGTGGGGGTGTAAAAAAGTGACTTACATTTCAGTCAAATCTGAACAAAAGCACTGTAGGTTAATCAATATTATGCCTTCTCTTTCAGGCTTGTTAAATGGATTGAAGAGAAAATGGCTGAGGATCCTTTTCTGAACGCTGAGATAATGCGGGACAACCCATGGGTGGAGTCAGGGAAGTGTGTCCTGCTGTAGTAACAGCCAGCCACTGACCACAAGGACTACAGCAGTGGCTCCACCCTTTACTGAACATATTTGCATTTATTTGCTTTATTTATTTATTTATCAACACTGCAGGCAAAGTGTTTTAGTCAATATTTAATCATTAATATAAACAGGTGAAATAGTTTGTCACATCTTTCTATCATGTGGTATTTTTATGCAAAGATGTTCCCACTGTACATTTAAAAAAACTGCTTTGCTGTTAGTTTGTTACTTAAATGCCCGTAACTGAGTGAGTTGTGCTGCTTCAGTGAAATACAGTGACTTGTTTGCTCAATGAAACCTTGTTGAGTAAAACTCAACATCTTTCCCATTGGCTCCTGGCATCATCAATTTGCATAGTGTTTTACCCGTTTTACTCACCCTCTTTCCCTTGGCATGCCTTCCGTTATGTGTGTGTCATTCTTATGCCCCCGTAGCCTTGTTGTGGTTGCCTGTAAGGGTGGGTTACCATGTACTTTTCTGCTGAGTGTGTTATTACAATGGTTGGGTAGTACAGTAATTTAAATTGTCTTAATTAAACCCATGATTTGTGTTGCTGCCTCTGCTTTCATTAGTTGAACCGTGTTAATGTGAAGGTGCAAGTACTATGGTCACCTGCCCTGGTCCTGAATATCTACCTTCATGCAGATTCTAGTTCCAACCAGAATCTGCCACACCTGATCCAGCTACTTAACATCTTCAGAAGACCTTAACTGGCTGGATCACTGGGGTGGGCACTGGGGTTTTATCATTAGCACTTAAATCACGTTTGTGTGATTTATTCGAATTAATTTAGTACATTCACTTAGCACATTGCTAAAATGTTTAAGTAAATTCAACATTTAATTGTTTTTGGATTGCAAAATTACAGTGTAAAATGTTTTTTAGCAAACCAGACGAACAAATCGCAAACAGTAGAATGAATAATAAAGCTTAACGAATATTTATTCACAGATTTTGCTGGAGATTTTTATGAAACAATACAGTTTATTACTCAAGATTATAGTTACATGTACAAATATCAAACATTTATCAGCTTGGGTCATGTTCCGACAAGGTCTGTTTTTCCTCATATATTAGTTAGAATGCTCAGAGTAACTCCCTAATGTACACATTCCGACGCACTGCATTGGACACACCCTCATTAAACCTAAACCACACATCGCTGTTTCCCACAGCTTTACCAATCTGCAAGGTCCCGTTCACTTTACCGTCTTCACCTAGACAAGACAAGTAAGAGAAATGAAAGATGAGTCAAATACAGAGTTACGGAGGAAAAAATAAACAATGAGTAAGTGATAATAAGAAAACATTGAGCCGACAACGTTAACACATTAATAACGTGTTACATTATTAACATTGCTAATTGTTTTTAATGCTGTTAATGCAATTTATCCTCCGTATATATTAATATATCCTTCTATAACCATTGTTATAATGTACACTGATGCCCAGCTACACACTGTATGTTGCTTTGATAGAATCCATAGCCCTCTTCTTCAAATACAGCTTTTAAAACGTCTTTTGAACCAATGCCTTCATCAGACTACACTGGACTGTGCCTGTGGGAGGTTATGGGAGACTATTATAACTAACAAAAGTGGAAAGCTATAGTTCCCCTCAAGAGCCTCCACTAGAAAAAAATCCAGTCATGAAGAAGTTGAAACTATTGACTGTATATATGATATATACACTCATTAGTTGTAACGTGCAACCTCTGTTGCCCTCACTGAATGTCAGTGGTGAAACCTGGACACTGCATTCACCCAAATGGAAATCATCTGATTTTTCATGTTCACGTTCATGTAAACCTCCACATGATAACGTTATTGTTATTGAATTATTGAAAGTAATAAATACATTCTGAAAAGCTTAATTTGTTTACTTAGAACCCTATAATAAAAACACACTGTAGATCTGAGCAATATGACAATATTTATCGTTATTGTGATAAATTACATCACAATATGTCTCAATGTGCTGGACATAAGTACTTAAAAACACGTCTCAACTGCATGTTTGAATACAAAGAAAGCATTAAATTGGGACGTTACATTTTTGCTGTATCGCCCAGCTCTAATGCACTTAAATGGGAAAACATCTTTCCTTAGGCTCAAATTTGAGCAAGTAAGACCAATTAGTGACTAAACAAAACAAAGCGATGAATTATTTTAACTGTTTGACAGCCCTATAAAAACATTTTGTCATATTTATGTTTATACAAAGTAAATGTGCTGGAAAACACGTAAGTACACGAGGGAGAGTGCTAGCCAACCTGTTGCTGTGGTGACCGCAGGCTTCTCTTTTGGAACAATGGCTCGTCCAAAGAAATCCAATTCAGGCTGTAAAAACATGGGAAAAACAAAAACTGTCATGTACATCAACATAACCCCACATCAAAACATCCAGTTGATGCTTCTACACTGATCCTCTATTAACCCAATTAATCCCAGGTTTAGACCTTCAGGCTAGCTTACGTGTATTTATGGTCAAGGGGTGAGGATTTGTAGTGGGTAATAATTTAAAGCAGCAGTGTGCAAAGGATTTCAGGTGCTTTAATGGGATTTTTTAGAAGGATTGCGATGCATTTCGTTTATGCCAAAACACTAGCTAACAACAGCTAACGCAATTAACATACAAGGATATCCCTTGCTTTGGCAAGAATGAAAAGCCTTGGCAGCATATTCAGAACCGATGGCCAAAACAATTAAGTCTGAAAGAACAATGAGGTTGCAAGTTTGTAGATTTGTGGCAGAATGAATATGCAATCAGTGCAGCATGGCTGCTGTGGTTTGTAATCCAGTATGGTGCAGATCACTCACCTTGCTCTCCACCACAGTTTGTTTGACTATGTTCTCCAGTCGTTGCTGGTGGTTCCTGTTCGTCTGCTTCTTTGTTTCTGACTTCTTCACCTGTTGTTCCCCTTCAACTGCCTCTGTCTAAGAAAGGAAAGTAAGGAAGTGTTTTATTTATTTAAGCCTGTGGAGTTTGTGTGTTCTATGCTGTCCACATTGAAGGCCTAGCTCTAATAGTAACAGGTAGCCAATGATTTTAAATATGGGTTTCCCAAACTTTTTAGATTTTAAGATTTTAGAACCAGATTTATCCATTTTCTAATTGATAATCAATAAACAATAAATGTTTCTCATGCAAATCTGTTGGAATTCAGGATACTGTGTGCCAAAAGTGTCTTACCCTCTGAGGGTTGCGTTTCTGGTGGGCTTGCTCGACCCTTCTCATCTTCTCCATCTCCGTCTCCCTGGCTATCAGCTGCTTCACCTGATAGGTCAGCTGCTTCCGCGGGGGCAGACCAGGAAAACGCACCACATCCTCCACATGTCTGCACAAACACACATACACACACCATTAACCATCAGACCAAAACCACGCACAGAGTACAGGGTACAGGGTAGGTCTGAACCGCTAACAAGAGTCCTCTTATCCATGTACTTCCCACAGAGGTTATTTTACATGCCTAATAATATTTATAACAATAACAGAAACAACCATGTTACAAAATAATAAATAAAACAACTACACTTTTTTGGCTGATAATTTTCAGATGATTCCTAAAACTGAACCCAACATGAGCAATATCAATTCATTCAACATGTTTAAATTAACTGGTAACTATCACTGGGCACAGGCCTATTATAGGGCAAAACATTTAAGTCCATGATCCCTATTGCACACCCGCAGACGGCAGCTGAATTCACTAAACCCGCTTACGTAACTCAGCAGACGACCAGTGTGTGGAAAAAATAAACAAGTCATCCTATGAGACAAACAAACAAACAGAGAAAACTGCATGGTAATACTTGGAAATTTGCAAGAAATGATAGTGGGAATTCTGAAAACACAAGCAAAATAAGCGATCAGTAATGAGGGCTGAGACTCTGCTATGGAAAAGTGTTTTCACCTTGTGATATCCATCAGAAGAGCTGATCAAACGAATAAAAATGATTCTTCCGAAGGGAAGTTCTCCAGGTAATGCAAATTTACTAGGATCTCCACTGTAAACCCATAAAGTCTTGTCCTTCCTTAAAAGTCCAGGAAAGATGCTTGCACGTCGTTACCCTTGGAAGGAAGAAAGTCAGCAGGGCTGCTGTAAAAACGCAGGGTTCTTGCTTGGGCTTTCAAACAAAATTAAAAAAATAAGCTAAAAAGGTATTTAAGGGTGGCTTTAAATAGTCCTTTCTGTATCCCGCTTGTACAGGGTTATTGAGGCAATCACAGTGGTGTATTTGTAAAACTGAGACTTGCTTTGTTGGAGGAACTGATGAAACTGTGTTCTTCATGAACGCAGCATATGGGAGCTGATACTGTGAACTGAAACAGTACTAAATTTGTAGGTTGACCCGACTAAGTGATGGTCGGTAGAACGTTTGTGAGTCACGTTTCAGTCAAGCTTGTCAGTCGTCATAGTAAAAGCATCCGTGTGATTGATGAGAGCTTCCTGAAGCTGCGCTCGATGCGAGAGGGCAGGCAGATAGAGGAAAGCATAAACAAGCAGGAGGAGCAACAGAGCAATGAGCAGCGGAACTCCCCAATCGGATGTTACCAGCGTTTGCTCACAACGGGCCTGCAGGAAGGAATGCTGCATGGTTCTACTACATACAGAAAATCAGAGAGAACACATTCACAAACTATAGATAAAGTATAAACAGCCTGTTTTGCTAACGCCTACACAATAAGTGCTAACCTGTCCTGCCACTGCATTTTATATATGCAGTACACACTGCACTTCACATATTCGTCATAGTGCGAACTAGAGGTGGGAATATGACAATATTATCATCAAAATAAGCTTTTGTAGGCATATTAAAGATGCACATTTCATCAAAAAGAAATTTAACAGGGTCATCCAATGTTTTGCCCCATTGTCTGAAGATTGCTAGCTCAAATCCCAACAACTGAGAGTGCATGTCAATAACACGAGAGCATAACTGCTGCATACTAATAGACAATTTAAAAAAAATTCTCGCATCTCTGGCAGGAAACCTTTCTTCAAAAGTAGAATAGTTTCTTATAAAATGTCTCTCAACGTTTGACTTTTCATGAGGCTGAAGTCGGTTCTCAATCGCCCGATTCTCATTCAAATTTTACCGTTCCACCTTAAATGGATATAGAATGTAACTGCTGCACCATTTAAGGTGGAACGGGATGATTCGAACAAAAAGCTGACTTCAGCTTCACGACTTTGTAGTGTTTAACAGTTTCTTGTTGCAGATGAAAATTATCAGGAAACCAGCCGGAGTGATCATAAATGCAAACAAGTCCATTCGTCTCCAAATCATCAATGTTCGTCTGATATGTTTCTCTGTGCCTTTTCGTTAGCCACTAGCTAAGCAAGACTGTCATCTGCATTGCTATGCTAACTAGAAGTCTGTGCGCTGATCTTCAGGGTTAAAGGGTGAATTAGCATTTATACATTAACTCCAGTGTTTAAGACCATTTATTTTACTGTAAAAGAGCTTTATTTTACTGTAAAAGAGGATTATTTTACCTTTACCTACAAATCTAATTCTGCTGTGGAGCCGCAACAGGGCAGTAAAAGTGAGCTTCATGTCAGGAGCTGCATGTCGCTGACCCCTGGCCTACAAAAAGTGCAAATTACAATATAGATTATAGAAATATTACAATAAAGACAGCGTATCATGAAAAAATATTGTGTTGTGTTATTACATTTTTGTCATATTGCTCACCTCTAGAGTGAAATGCAATGAAGCTAAAAATCAGCCCAGAAATGCCACACTGGTGCATAGGAGTGGCCGATATGGCAAAAATATATCACAATATTCTGATAGAGACCATTTAACATAATCAAGAACTACAAGTGCAACAATTTTTCTTTAATGTTTAACATAAATCCTGCCCTAAATCAAATTCAACAGGACTCATTTAAGCTGCTTGAAATGAAACCTGCAGCTGATCAATGTACATGAAACACAAAAATTCTGAAAAGCACAACAGATAACAAAAAATATTGTCATATGGCCTACCCCATCTGTGCAGCCCAAAATCAAAATTATTAGTCAAAAACCATTTTAAAATCCTTATTATTTGTAACACATAAATAAACAAGGGCAGCAGTGACAGTATATCTGATAAATATGAATATCTGATGACGCTGACTGATAGAAGACAAAATAAGACTATAAGTCACCAGCAAGATCTGAGGTTTAACAGTATAGATGAGTGTGGCCTCACTATTTGGCAAGCAATAGGTTTTTATGCGTTTTAATGGTTTTCAAGGTATCTATGTCCTGGACTAATAACAATTAATAAACTAATTTTAAACCACTCAAAAACCTTTTTAGTGGTATTCTTAGTACCAATATTGATACAAATCCTAATTCTGCATAGGAATATATTGGACATGCTGCAAAATGTATACACATCAGCACCAAACCAGAACACACTGAGACACCCACAAGTTAACCAACACAAACACCATCTAGGCACGATGCAAACAGGGCGTACGAGTTTGGATCCTCCATTCCACTTTAGGGACCAGCTCTCCTATTCAAGCTCTGGCTTTCTTCTCATTTATCCTTCCATCTGTTTGTGTTCCTTTCACAGCTTTCTTCCTTTGGCTCCTTTACACAAAAAGTCCAGGAGTGCAGCGGTACATCTTCAAGAAAGAACATCTCCAGACATCTGCGTGTTTCCCAACAACAGCTGTAAGAACTCGTCCTCGGAAACCAAGCGTCTAGCGGCATTGGAAGAATGAGAAGTTCCTGCATCCCACGTGACAGAATCAATGAAAACGGGGTAAGAGAGAGAGAGGAAAGCACTCTAATCTGGAACTACAACATAATCTCTCTCTCACCGTACAGCACAGGTGAATTGTTTTGAACCAAAACGTGGTCATGCATGTGCTGGTGTGCAGCAAACGTTCACGTAATCTACCAGCTCATCCACAAACAGCTATTACCAAAGCAGGACTGCATCACAATTTCTGCATATGGATGTTTTTTCTTAGATGTGTTGTATTACAGTCAGGTCAGGTCTTGTTTGAGCAAAAGGACAGGATTTGGAAAAGCAAAGCTCAAAAGCGATGGAGCCAAACATTCAAAGAAATCAGGCATGACCTTGGGATGAAGTCATCTTTTCTGTGAAAGAATTTGTTATTTCTGTTCAAAATGGATTACCTGCTAAACCAAAGCCCCTCAAACAAATTAGAAGGGGAATTCCACCAATTTCATTTCTACGTAAATAAATGGTTAAGACAACAAAGTCATTTGTGAAATGCGCCATTCTGGACTAACTCACCAACTCAGTTGTTCACAGTGGTGGTGATAAGAACCAGACAGCCAAAGACTTTAATGCCTCTAAAAAGCTACAGTACAATTAGATGTGCAATTAGGTTTAAAGCTAAAAATACACTAATATAGAATAAATACAAATATTATTAGCACAATAAGTAGTGATTTTATGTATCTCAATGTGTTTTTTGTAATAAATACTTCATTATGTTAAATCAAGTGTTCTGCTCAAGGGATTGAATAAATTCTTAATTCAAACTTTATTATATTACTTTTTTTCAAAATAAACACTTCTTGTTACTTTTTACTGTATTTATGTTTATTTATTCTAATGATACACTTGTTGCTGTATTTATGCTTTTATTTTAATGAAATAAAGTTTTTTTATTGGCAAAAACACATTTATTGTCCAGATAAATGGTTTTAAACAACATGCTAAGGTACCTAAAACTTTTGCACTGTACTAGCACAGGAATATGTTACACAAAACATACATATATGCTGCCTAAAGCCTGGGACATAAGGTTAGACCAGTGGTGTCAAAGTCAACCACTATAAGGGCCATATTAAGGTAACACTTTATTAGGATAGTCCACTTTAGATGCTTTGTAGATACTTCATTTACTTTCAAGTTACATTCAACTTAATATCTGCTAAATTGACCATAATTTTCTTCAACTCTAAACCTGGCTCTAATCCTAACCCTAACCTTAACCTCAACCCAAAACCTAGACCCAACCCTCACCCTGGTCCTAGCCCTAACCCTGTTCCAAATCCTAACCCTAATCCCAGCACTGTTTAGAATCAACTGAGTTTCAACAGCTAGTTTGTTAACAATTTGAACATCTGTAGATAATCTATAGGGGACTATAGTGGACTATCCAAATAAAGTGAGGCTCATATTGAAAAATCTCAGCAGATCCGTGGGTCAGCTGTGTTTTTATTCCATTTTTGCTTAACATTTTGCCATGACTCGAACGGGCCATTGTTTAATCAAAATACGCCAAAACTGCAACAGCAAAATAGACACTTAATACTTATTCAAAAATAATCCTAAATAAAATGTATTGTTTTAGGTAGTTTTTTAAAAACTACTCATTTGCTTGAACTGGACACCAGGCATCTTTTCTTTTTGTGTAACTGCTGGCCCATAGGTTGTTGTGGGGGGAAGGGGGGTCAGAACACACACTACGTTGCAGTGCATGCTGGGGACTGCAGTGCATCTCAGGGTGAAACGGGCTAATAATAATAAAAAATTAAAATAAATTTGTGGGCCGAATAGGACTGTGTCACGAGCCTGACTTAGCCCGCGGGCCTTGTGTTTGACACATAGGGGTTAAACGATTGTGTGCAATTTTCAAATTGCAAGAACTATAATTTTAATTGTGTCCTATATTTTTTAACATTGTCTTATGTTTTATTTGGGGAAACTGAACCTAATGACACAGAGCTTGTGAATTGGCACTGGGGCACAATACATTCAGTGTTTTAAGCTCCAAAACATAGAATTGCTGGATTTCTTGATGAGAAAAAAAAGAGAAATTGTTTTACCTTTATAATAGTTTTGAGATGCATGTATTTAAATCCACTCATGGTGGAGAGGTACATACTGGGTGTTCTATACAAAATTAATAAAACTCCTAAAGGTTTACCACTATTTTGCCACAATCAACGTCACATATAAAAACCCTTGGTATAGATGTTGGTTCACTGGTGGTTTTGGATAGTAAATAAAATGGCTATATTTTAATTGTTGATACTTCGACCTCTGGTTCCCCACTGCTGTAAAGGGTCAGTAAGTTTCTCTACAATAAACCATTTCCCATCAAACCACTCTGAATGACTTTGTTTACTTTTTTAATGAGTGAAATATGCAGGGATTTTGAAAAATAACCGCAATTTCCCTTAATGTAAAGAAAATAACACAGCTGCTATTTTTGGAAACAGGGTGTTAACGTGGCACCCATAATCAGAAATATGATGGGTATTTAACAAGTGGTCCATAGATGACTCTTGCACTACCAAGTGAGCCTCTTCCAAACACTAAAAATACAGCAGAATTAAATTTAGGCATAGGATTAAGATCAGGATTAGGTTCTAAGTCAAAGTACCACCAGGAAGTGAATCAATTAGATCAAGCTTAAAGCACAGAAATGCACTCTGACTATAGGACTCCACTCCTCTCTCTTATCCTTAACACAATTTAAAGATCAGCACAGTCTGGACACTACAATCACACAGGGTGCATCTTGAACACCTCTAGCATAGAAAGCATCCCATCAGCCACTCATCTAATTTGGTGTGGTTTCCTTCCATTGAAAAGAGCAAATAGCATTGCACTTTGAATGTGACTATCGATTATATTAAACAATTATTTTGACGTTTATTCAAGTAACCAGAAATTTTTAATAAGACGGATTAAACAAGCAACGTGAATTTACGGCACTGTTTTTCTCTATGGGAAAAATTAAGGGCCCTGTGATAAACAAAAATTCTAAAGCTGCCATTCTAAAGTTTCACCAATGTACCTTTATTTCCTTCCTTGGTATGCTTTATTTTAAATGCAGAAAACGGCTTTTACCAAAATTAAATATTTAAATATTTAGAAAGTGGTCTTGTATAAGTATCAGCACTTTTTAGATAGTTAGGTTAGACAGAGCTAGTACTGGTATCGGTACTCGGTATTGGCCGAAACTTAATCATGAGGTATATGTATTGGTATTGGTATCAGAAGGGGAAAAAAAATGTATCCTTGCATCCCTAGTTAAAGGACTTTGGCAGTATAATTGGAGTTTAACTTAATTTGAGTAATTTGACGTAATATGACAGTGACTACCTGCATGAAATGGCAATTCAATGCACAGGATTGCTTGTAGTACATAATGCATAGATCTACATAAGACTGTGTTTTTACTTACGGCTCAAGTACATAAGTATACTGGCCCTCAGGTGTCCGATCCTGTCTGTAGGTCAGATTATAGTTGATCATGGTATCTATGAGCTCACAAAGCTGCTGTTTCTCCCTGGCGCTGTACAGCTGAGGATTTACCTGAAAGACCAAACAAACGCACAAAAAAGACCTTTACGTTATATATCAATATAATGTTATGCTAAAATATCATAAAATGCAATAAAAGACCAAGGAAGATACACAGTAAAAGTAGCAGAGAAGTAACGAAGGCCAGATGTAATTCTTTATGTTGCTTGTTATATCATCTTCACCACATCTTTACTACCTAAAAACACTCATACAGACACGCACTCGCTCAGACAGTCAGTTACCGGTCGTAGTCTGGGGCAGATGAGTTCCAGCAAAAGGCTGAGGAAGTCCAAGCAGAGCGTGCTCTGGCAAATTCGACTCCGTATTCCAGGAGGGATCTCAGCCAACATGGAAATGACAGCATTCTTGGTGTGCTGAGTTTTTGTAAGAGCCTAGAAAATGTTCAAGTGTAAAAGTTACCCGACAGCTTTACAATCCCACATGCAACATTTCATCAACTTATATATCTCAGCTGTGCAGTGTTTGGCTGGAAGAAGTGGATTGATAGGTGTTTAGAACAACAGACAGTTTAGTTTGGTGGTACAATAAAATAAAATCAATAGCATACCTCAATATCTTGTGTAAATTATGTGTTTTGCTAGAGGCTACTGCAGGGTTTATAGCCATTTATAGTTACATTTCTTTTGTAGCAAGTGTTCACCTGACACAGTGTCTTATGCAGTTTACAAATTAGGATGTTTATTTGATAAACAAGAAAGTTCTGGACTTTGACTGGTCAGAAGAAATAAATGCTTTATTTTCCAAATCTCATGTGTCAAACACCAGGCCCACTACACAATCCTATCTGGCCCAGAAAAGGATTTTAATTTTCTATTAATATTAGCTTGTTCCACAATGCACTGCACTTCAGTCCCCAGCATGCACTGCAACATAATGTGCTCTCAGACTCTCCTACCCCAACAATAATCTATGGGACAGCAGTTACACCTCAATTCCACAAAGTTCCACATCAGTCATATCACCAAACACACTAACTGCAGTTCAGCCAATATAAACACCTAACGTTAGCTCAGAGATTGAGCCCAATTATTAATGAACTTGCAGCAAAGAAAAGATGCCAAGTGCCTAGTTCAAGCAAAAAGGTAGGTTTAAAAGACCGAGCTCCAGGGGACATTTAGATTTTGTATATTTCAAGTGCCCATGTAATATTTCAAGGTCTACTGCAAGTGTCTATATTTTACTGCTGAAGTGTTTGCGTATTTTGATGAAACAATGGCCAGTTGGCCATTACAACAATAATTAAAAATGAAATAAAAAAAAAAATTTCTCTGGCACATAGACTGGTTGGGATATTTTTAATATGGCCCCTTTAGTGGGTGAGTTTGACAGCCCTGTTCTAAGTACTCTATGTACTGTAGATGGTCTCCTTGACCTCTTAAACTTTACTCACTAAGAGCAACGTTTGGTGGAGGAGGGATAATGGGCTGGGGCTGTTTTTCAGGGTTTGGGCCCTTCAGTTCCAGTGAAGAGTAATGTTAATGTTTGTATATTTAGACAACTTTGTGGCGACAGTTTAGTGAAAGCCCTTTCCTGGTCCAGCATGACTGCCCCTGTGCACAAAGCGAGCTCCATAAAGACATGGTTTGATGAGGTTGGTGTGGAGGAACTGAGGCCTGCACAGAGCCCTGACCTCAACCCCACTGAACACCTTTGAGACGAACTGGAATGTCGAGTGCGAGCCAGGTCGTCTTGTTCAACTTGGTCAAAAATGCTCTTTTGGCTGAATGGGTCCAAAGTCCCACAGACACACTCCAAAATCTTGTGGAAAGCTTTCAAGAAGAGTGGAGGCTGTTATAGCTGCAAAGAGGGACCCTTGGTTTTGGAATGGGATGTAGCTCATATAGGTGTGATGGTCAGGTGACCACATTCTTTTGGCCAGACAGTGTGGACACAACAGTAGTTATGGAAGAATATATTTGTGGGCAGAGCATGGATAGGTCAATAAAGTCTTACCTCGTAGTGGCTGTTGGGGTAGCTGATGCGCGGCACAGAGTTGGCCGCAAATAAATAATGGAAAGCAGCAGGCAAGAAGGGAAGGTAGCGCATGAGCGAGTAGTTCTGTCCGTGTAAAATGCACTCATTCATGAGGTCTGAAAAACAGAGCCAGTCCAGGCCGGCGCACACCCCCAACAGCCCGGGGTCTTTCAGCTTCATACTGAGGAAATTATCATAGAGGCCCTGACACAGAGAGAGAGAGAGAGAGAGAGAGAGAGAGAGAGAGAGAGAGAGAGAGAGAGAGAGAGAGAGAATGAGAATGAGAATGCATGTAGGTCAGAGAGGGAATGAGGGAATGATTTCCATTCATTTGCATGAACAGATTTAACTTTTGCATGCTTTTCAGCAGGTGATGAAAAGGGAGATCAGCCATGTTGGAAGAATGTCCTGGTATATACTGAAAAGAACTCTTCTCTACTGATGTAAAATATATTTAAATTTTTGTAATAAATCCAAAAAAAGGAAGCTTTTAATAAAGCTTTTATGAATATTATTAAGTCTCTATTACTTACTGCTTCTTTTTATTTAACTTTTTTCAATGTATCGCCTTTGATGTTGCCTACATTCGAATTCACTTCTAATAATTGATCTATTTCCCAGGTTTTGTCACCATTTATGGGTCTTAAGTGCCTGAGTGACATCTGAAACACCACTGGGTAAAGGTTTCTTCATTAAACATTATGATGGTTATAACAGGTATGAAGATTTTAGATGTTAAAGCAAGCAAATTTACTGTCAAATTCACAACTAACTAGAGGCGACTGGACTGAATCCTTACCATTTTGTTGCTTTCATTTCATTCCTGCATTAATTTTACTATACTGAACTATCTGTCTCTTTCATAAGGCGTTCTGTTCCACAGCATGTAGCCTAACGTTACTTTTACTGGGCTGACCTTATCCACGTAGGCTAGTTAGTTAACTTTAAATGGTGCAGCAGTTATATTTTGGCACCTCTGATGTACCATTTAATGCGTGAAGGAACATTTGTCGCCCCCCTCTGGCCCAAACTGAAACTGTCCTAGATAAACCGAATTTCTCTGCCGTTGGAACAAAACCTTGTATCTCCATTTTTTGTGATCGATACTTTATTAGCAAGCAAGCATATAAATCACAGGAACTATATTCACTAAGCCCACAGGATTCTTCACAGCAGTAATAATACAGAGTTAATAGTTATTATTAGATAACAATAGCAGTAATATTAATGATGGCAGTAGTGATGGTCGGTGTTACACTCGCAAAAAAGGAGACATATGGATATGTATCTCCACTTTTATCGTTATGTGCTTTTTTTCATTTTTTTTAAAGAAGTTGAAAATGCCAGCAGCTCTTTCATGATCAGTTGACCAACAGAAAAGCTCTAAAATTACTTGAAAAAAATCTAGTTCTTTTAACTCGCATTTAAAGTTGAGACCAGTTTTCCTTCTCATGTAAAGTCATTTTGGAGATATGTGGTTGTGTTCCAAAAACAGCGATATATAACTGCAAAATACTTTTTAATTTTAAATAATGAAAAACTGGTATTTAGCAGATCATTTTGACCCAATTCACAGATTTGAAAACTTGCCACAATTGTATGCAGAACTTTTTGTCCAGGAAACTCATGTGTAGTGTTTTGCTGGGAGGAGCACTAAGCTGTGGCATTTGAATGAAAGGTTAAAAATTGGCCTATTTTAAGCTAAGGTGTAACCCAAAGGACCAGCTGTTCCTTTATGTCCACTGCCTTGGAAACAAAATGGACTACTTCAGATGTAAAAGACTAGGCAGCAGGAGGTGATCAATGGTGCTGCATTTTCATTTAAAACGTGACTGAAACATCCCTGATTGGCCACTCAGCTACATGGGTTAAAGTAACGTAAGGTTGGTTTACGTTTTTTTGTGCTATACTTGTATAAGGGCTATAATAAAACTCCTGGGGACAAATTTCAACCAGTAAATACATATATATTTAGATATATTTGTATGTGTTTGATATGGTCTGTTTATACGATGTTGAAAAGTAAAAATAAAAAAATAAAAAAAAAGATAAATGTTTTTCTTTGGACAGCGACAATATGTACCTGTGTAAGTTTCTCATGCTCTCCATTGGACGAGGCCAGGTGAAGGATGTGCTGAAGTCTTTGAGTTCCATCTTTAAGCCCCACCTCCTCAAGGCCTCCAAATACATCTCCACCAATCCGTTTCCTAATAGACCAGCAAAAATAGATGAGTCAGAAAACTCGATTCACTCCAGTTAATTAGACAACAGTAAAATAAAAATGTAAGAAATCTCACATATCATCATATTTCTATCATGAAATGTCATGTACAAATTAATGTGTACCTTTTCAATCGAGGAAGTTGGAAGATTTCTTGCCACAACGAGAAAAGTCCCTTGTTCTGGTCCTTTAACCCAACGCACATAGAACTCACAACACGCTGATCCAACTGCTTTTGGCCACGGCCATGTAAAAACTACATGCACACATAAAGAACACATTCCATTTATGGTAAACAATACAAATTATAGCACAATGTTTTCATTAAAACTATATTACAATATTTTTAAAGGTTTTAACAACACCTTAATCTGGTTTCTGACATTGTACAATTTACTGCTACCATTAAAAACACCACAGATAAATAGTCAAAACAGAAGTAGACAAAACAGAAGTAGCAGTACGTCAAATAGTGTCAAAACCACATAAGCAAGAATCAGACAATTTTAGGCACGTGTGTGATGATTTCAGTGCTCACTGGTGAGGTATAAGGTTTTAATACTTATAGCTCCCGTGCAAAATTAGAAGTTTCACCACACATGCTTTGGCTGACTGACTGAATTTGTTTTTGGCCAAACTATTGATTTACCAAAACACACACATTTGCAAACACGTTACCTGTAACGTGTTGATGCAGGAGCGAATGTCGTTGTCTGTTTTCTCACACAAAGCCATCAGAGTGCCTGTGTCTGCTTTCATTCCCTGTCGCCGTGCGATCTACACAAAAGATAGGTTGCATTTACAATAACAGAAGCAGAAAAAAGTTGGGACATTAGGTAAAACGTACATAAAAGAGACAACAATGATGTGCAAATCCTTCTTGTCCTGTTTTCACTTGGAAATAGAACAAAGATAAAATATACACGTATATAAGCTCATTCTAAATTTGATGCCTGCAACATTTTCCCAAAAATAATTTGCATCACCTGGTACCTGTTCACCTGCATACCTGTGGTAAGTTCCAAAACAGGTTCATTCCACAGTCTCATTTCACAAATATCCCTGTCCCAACTTTTTTTGGAATGTGCTGCAGGCATCAAATTTGGAAAAATCAATAAAGTTGATATGCTAACATATTAAATATCTCTTCTTTGCGCTGTTTTCAACTAAATACCTGTAAACGACAGTTTACACGTCACCACTATCTGTTTTAATTTGCATTTTATTTACTGTCCCAACATCTTTGGAACTGGGTTTGTAGTATATGAGCATTACCTCTGTCAGTCTTTGCGCAAGGCGGGAGGGCTGCGTCGGGGGGAAAGTTAAAAGGAACGCCTGCTGCCTCAGGGGCCTCAGAGCAGGAGCATAACTGTTAAGACAGACAGCCAATCAAATTTCAACCTAAATCTTGACCTGATTTTACGAACTCTTAGCTGACACCTAGAGGTGATGGATAGGAGGAGCTTACAGATCATTGCAGATGCAGATAATTGGCCGAAGCAATACAGACTCTTTCTTCTTCTTTTTCTTTAAGGGATTCGAGCTCGACTCCTCTCCTTCCCGACTGTCCTTCCTATTCAGAGTCGCCAGCAGGATGTTGATGGCAGCCTGAGCCAATCAGACAGAGTAGCAGACAGTGAGAGATAATAAACAGGTAACAACACAAGCAGCTTCAGGCAGCATTCTGAGGCAGAAGGTGGGTCTTACAGAGGGAGCCCCATCGATTTCATCAATCACAAGGCAGTTTGGCTTCTCATTCGCTCCCAGCACTGACTTCATCTGTGTGGCGGTGTCAATGCGTTTCTGAAAGAGCTCTGCACTGCGGTCATCACTGGACAAAGAAAACAAAAACAAAAACAAAAAACATTGTTTTAAACACAGTGTTAAAGGGTAACTCCACTATTTTTTCAAAATTTCTATGCATTCAACCACTGCGATGTGGTGCTAGGAACCAGAAGTCGTTATGTTGACAGTGTAAATATGATCATTTTCTGTGCTACCCAAAATGACTTACATGTGTCTTCAAAGTTTAAACATGTAATGATGGTGATAAAATATTTATAAATCTGAAAACATGGGTTTTCATTGGAGTCTATATTGCCTCACAACACTTTTGCCTCTGCCATGAATGCATTTAAAAATAATGGATTTTAAGAGGCGTTAAACAGATGTCTGGTTCCTATAACCACAATCTGAGTCAGTGTGTTTCTCTAGAAATTAATTATGGAGAAAGTTTGAAAAAGTTGCACTTGATCTAGATTGGCACTACAGCACTCCTGCTCCCTGTTGCCTAAAGTGGTTACAAGGTAGAGTTTTGATCATTTTTTCAGCTTACAGTACGTCATACTGCTTCTAATCCACACCAACAAGTCTGCACAACCCTAATGAAACCCTGGATGCAGTTGGAGGAAATTAAAAGAGGTTTTGGGGGTGTATTTTACCAGAAACAATTTAGGCTATCTGGGTGACTGAGTTCTAGCCTTTGCTAGGAATGTTAGCTTCACCGCTCCAGTCCTAAACCAAAAAAGCAAAACTGGACTTGGCCGATCGAGTACATCTGGGGAAAAGTGGAAAATTGTGTACATCTGAATTTTTGCCAGACCATTCTTTTAAGAGAGTCCAGTAAGAGATTTCAAAATATGCATCATCGTTTAAACTGCCAACAAATTACTGCCAATTTGTTTAAAAGGTAAATTTTACCTGAAACACAAAACGAAAGGGAACAATATTACAATCACTAGACGCTTTAACTAGAAACCTCCTCAATCTGTAAATATCAAATAATAACCATGCTAAACTTTGTAGAGCTCATTATTAATTTACTTTGTACCTTTTAGCTCTAAAGTGTTACTAAATTCTCTAATGTTGAAGGTTTTATTTCACTAAATCTACACAAGTACAGTTAGAAATGGGCTTCAGACTGATGTTTATGTGCAACTTTTCTGTGGCGTTTCCTACGTGCTACAGCTGCGCTATGTACTTTCTGCTGTATGGCGCGGCACTTCTGTGAGGTACATTTCAAACCAACACAGCAGTCTGTCTATGTTTCCTTCACTTGATTAAACCAGTGGTTCTCAAATCGCACCCAGACGGTCCAACCTAACTTGCAACGCACTTTGGATGGCAAAGAAAACAAATGAATGGATCCTAGACCAAATTAAGCATAACCTTTCACTCGAAGCCCAGATAACCAAACTGAAGCCATATTACTTTGGACATATTCTGTAAAGAACTAATTCACCTGAAAAATTACGCTTGGAAGAGCCAAAAGTAAAAGAGGAAGAGGACGATCAGCTATAAGGTGGATGGACACAAGCAGAGGAATCATGAACCAGCCAGTGAAAAGCCTTAAGACTCAAACAGAACACAGTATATTCTAAAGACACACTATCCATACGGTCACCAGGAGTCGGAAATGGCTTGACGGCACTTAATAATAATAATAATAATAATAATAATATTATTATAACTTGCAACACATACAGATGGAGCAAAAACATGGACTGTTGGGGGTTCGCTAAGGACCAGTTTGAGAACCACTGGACTCAACAGATAACAAAATTCGGACTAGAATGTATGACATGAGTTCTTTACTGCCCTCCTGTGGTGTATAGAGTTTAGACCTCTCATGGTTCTTAAATGTGATATTAACTAATATTAATATAATTAATATAATATTACATTAGAGAACAGCTAAAGAGAGGAAGCTAAAACCCTTTTCACTATTAATTTTTTTTTTTAACTTTTACAGCTGTATGAAAATTCTAACTTTCCGACTCATCTCTAAAACCAACATAGCAAATCATGATTTATTGGTTGCACATATTTTTTAATAGTAAAAGACCCACATCATACCTGAATAAAATCATTTTATTTCAATAAACAGCACTAGACTGCCTCAAGGTGTGGGATTCACATGTAAACATTAGTATATGGGAGCCTGTTGGACACAGTGAGAAAGGAGTTCAGTGGTGTAGTTTGATGCATGTGTGTGTGTATCTGTTACCTAGCATTGATTTCAACAACATTGTATCCTGCATGTCTGGCAATGATGTGCGCTAACGTGGTCTTTCCCAAACCAGGAGGGCCAGACAAGAGTGCTACCTAAACAGAGAGAAGAACAGCTCAGCAAAGCCACAGAAAAACTAAGTTAATGCCAAAAAAGTAACTAAAAAAAAAAAGCACAAAATAAATAAATAAATAAATAAATAAATAAAAAATCAATTGGCTTTTTGTGTTTCTTACCTTATATTTGGGCCTTTTGTACTGGTCTAGCTCTGCCTCCAGTATCTCTTCAGTGATCTGGCTTTTAGTTTTGAAGCGCTGAGCTTGATTTTGGTTTTGTGCGTTGGGAATATTCGACCTGACCTCTGGAGCAGCCGGTCGTTGCTTCCTCTCCCTGCCGAAAACAACTGTGTCCCAAAGCTTCAGCCATTTCAACAGGCAACGATTGGTGAACTGTGGAGACACAAAGACACACAGCTTTAAACACATTTGCGCATCAACAGAGGTGTTTGAACTTGACACATTTCAGCTGACAGCAACTGCTGAGCAAAAATTTAAGCGCACATACCTATTCAACCATTTTAAAACAAATACAGAATAGAAGAAAGCAAAGCAGTACCAAGCTGCAACATTCCTGTATATCTACTGTCCAAATCGCCCAAATGCTGATCTCTTGTTAGGAAGGAAAATCGTCTAATTCCAATTAGGACCAAACTTGATCATCCACCCGTGGCAGCCGACAAGCTTAGCATTGTGCAAATGCATGCCTTAATCATCACACACTGGCCTCAAAACATGTTGAGCTGTATGAGTATCTAAAAGAGACCTGCTTATCTGATTTCTGCTGCTGTATTGCCCTCAATTTAATTTGACTAAATGTAAGTTTTAACACTCACATCATCGCTCAGTAGCTCCATATAATGCTGCGGTGCAAAGCGATCCACCCATAAACGAGAGGAGGAGCCTTCGTCCACAGCACCATCATCATTCTCTCCAGGATCTTCTGTATCCTCTTCTGCTAGAAGCTCTGGATCTATACCACTAAAAACAGTGGAGAGACAAAAAACTGACACACTGGAGCATAAAACCCGCAACTACATATACTGTCAATATACAATATGATCCCTTCCTTTTTATTTTAGAGCTAAATATACAGGAGGACGCTCTCCAACAATTTTATTGCTACAGGAATTCTAGCGGGACTGAAAACAGAAAACCGGCAAACGGAACCCCCATTGAGTTTTCAGGAAAATCATGGATTGGCCTCGCTTGTTTAACATTTGCCACTGATTAATCGATAGCTGTCTGTCAACGTTAATGACAATCAATCAAGAAAATACCTTAAGGTTTGCAACCCAAGCTCCTATTTTTCAGCAGTTTAGCAAAGTGAAGATTTCTGTAATCCACTGGGAAGGAGGGGCAGAAGGTTTCTACCTCATGCTACGAAGTCACGCCTAACAGACTGCGGGAGGATTCCAAAAGGAGCAGTGACTGCGCTGATCCAAGAGTAATCCCAACACATTCTGAGATGATTTCTAACCAAGAAAAGATGTGTTTACTTGAGCTACACTTACCTGTTCAAAAGTTCCGTTAGCCTTTGGGATTCCTCCACCAACTGCCGGTGACGCTGCAGACAAAGCACAGCCGTTAGAATACACACTGTCTGGGTAGAAGTACTGGTGTATACATGTGTGTCTGTCTTACCTTTTCAGCCACTTGCTCTTTGAGGACCTCTATGGGTACAGCCAGGAGTCCCAGTGCACTCTGGGAATTCCGAAAAAAACGTGGATCTGGTACCTTAAAAATATAAAACATATATATCACGTATTAGTGTATATGTTTATGCAAAGAAAAAAATGTGCATTACATATCGCTGTTTTCGGAAGAAAACCTCGTATCGCCAAAATTATAACTTCACAGGAGAAGGAAAAAAAACCTTCCTTAAAAAGTAATGTAATGTAATTACATGTAAGTCAATGGAACCAGAAGTAATTTTGGGTCGTTTGTTCTAGTCCATTCATCATGAAATTTACAACCAATGTAAAGGGCAACAGGCATTTTTAAATTATACACACACACACACACACACACACACATATATCTATATAACTCTATATAAAATTAGAGTTTAACATTTTGAGAAAGAAATAAAAGTGAAAATATAAAATGTGCCATGACTTTGGAACAACCATATTTTATGTGTTTTTGACACAAGACAAATAACAATTAACAAATAAACAGTAATTATACACTCAGATGAGCAGGACTGTGTTCTCTGTAGAGGATGTTTTAACTTTTTCACTTAGAAAATCAACAAAATGTCATTTGACATGTCAAAGTTTCATTTCATTGAAAAATACTGACTCCAAACTTTGCAACACTAGCGTATGCAGTTAGCGGTAGAGCTGAATAACGATTTTTTTTTTATTGAAATCGCAATTTGAAAAAATGTTATTTTTAAACCACAAGAGCTGCAATTAAGTTCTGCCTTATTTAACAATGTCTTAAGAAGTTTTAATTGATGAAATTCAACCGTAAGAGTCAGCAGTCTGGCACATTACATTCAGCATTCAAATTATGAATCCAAAAGTTTATGCTGGTCTTCTTGTTGAAAAAAAAGGCGTGCAGCTTAATTTTTCAGAAAATAATGCATTTAAAATACAATTTCAATATGTCCGAAAATCGCAATTAGATATTTTCCCCAAATTATTCAGCCCTAGTTAGAGGCTTTCTTTTTATCATTAAGGTTTGTTAAAATAGTATGTGCAAACTGCCAGCATGCTACGTTACGCCAAGTTACAAACATGCTAACTGACACATGCATTTTTGAAAAACTAAAAGCAATAAAACATTCATTTTTGGGTCTATGTTTGTTGTTAATTGTAGGGTTACATATATCAATGTTAATTTATTCCAGTGGAAATAAGCACCTTGTCATCCTCCTCCTCTTTCTTGCTAAGATAAACTCTGTTGCCCATCGAGTCTGTGACAGTGATGTAATCCCCCATTGCCGGGGGACGTTTCTGTGCATGACGAGCTGTCGTGGTCACCCTCTTAGGCGATTCCTGTAGCGCTGCCAGGCCACTGATGTCCAACATGCTGGCCGTCATTGCAACCTGTGGCCTATCAGGAGAGAGAGACAGCGCAAACGCAGGCCTGCGAAGAGATCAGACAGGAAACCAATGTCTTTAAAAGGTCAGTGCGTTTTCCTTCTATACCACAACTTCAGAGGGAATTTTTCACAACAAAGGCAGAATAACAGATTTTAAAATGCTTCATTTTGCTATGAAATGATGTTCACATCAATGGAAGAATCCATAAAAAAGTCTGCATCGTGACTTAATTCTGAATGAAATGCGGTAGCAGGGAGGGTCTCTGGGCTAGCTTTGTGGTTTGTCTGGATGATATGCTGGGAAGGTGATTAATATTATTTTTATTTTATTTACTTTTATTTTATTATTATTGCACCAAGCACTAATGTGAGAGACTGAACAAAAACAGTGACGAAGCAATGATGAGATTAACTGAAACTGAGATTGTTTTGTAAGGTTTCAAGTATGCTTTACTGTAAGGAAACTGTTCAACACCACCGTGTGGCCAAACTATAAAATGCAGGTTTTTAGTGCAGCTGCCAAATTTACATGTACATTTATGGCATTGGGCAGACGCCCAAGGACTCTTATTGGTATAGTGTAGGGCGCTTACCCAGGCGGAGGACTGAACCCCAGTCTACAGCGTAGAAGGTGTTACCCACTACACTACGCCAACCACAATTAGGCCTATAAACTCTCAAAACATTCCCAAAGCATCATTTGGTGGCTCTGAAAAATACATATCGCTCAAACAGAGCTGTAATATTTTCTTACAGAGAGGAATGGAGCGCTGTAGTTATTGGAAAAACTATATTAAAGAGGAATTCCACTCATTTTTCAAAAATTTTGCTAATTAAATGGTTAAGTTATAAACAAAGTCATTCAGAGTGGTTTGATGTAAAATTCTCCGCTCTGGAGAAACTCTAGAACTGTTCACAGTGGTGGTGACAGGAACCAGACATCTAAAGAGTTTAGTGCCTCCAGAAGATCCCTCACAGAAAGTTATAACATCAAATAGTTACACAGACATTGCAATTGTGGAATAAAGTGACTTGGATTAAGTAGTAACCTGTTTAACAGTATGACTGCATGATGTTACTGATGTAAACAGGTAGAATAGTTAGTAGATAAACAGTAGACTTGTTTCTGTTAAAGTATTTAGAATTGATCAAGCAAAGCAGCCAAGGATACAGAAACACCGCACTGTAACAAAATACACTCATATTACATCTGATCCCATCACTGTGTTTCATTAATCACTAATACACACATCAGTGATTAACAGTGAACAGTGTTGACATTTCTATACACTATGCACTGTGAGGCTGTACATGAACAGATTTTTACCTGCTCCTGTCTGACTTCTCATACACCTCAGGGGAGGAAGGAGGAGTGATGCCATCATCCTGCGTGGCATCAAACTGGAGCTTTTTAGCAACGTCCTGCTTGCGCCTCTTTGCTTTCGGGGCTGAAGAGAGACAAATGTTTTAGACATACTTACACCCATATCTTTCTGTCAATATAAGCAGCGTGCCAGCCAGTCTTGGTGTAGAACATCTAGAGCTCTGAAGGCTAAAGGATCTCTAGACCTCTAGAATCTGGCATTGTAGACCTACAGAGTACAACTGACAGCTGAGAAAATGGCCAACGAATGTAGGTAGGAGTGGGCAATAATACATGAATACATTTTTAAGAGACATGATATGCATGTGTACATTACTTTTTTCCTGAGGTTTTAGAATTATTGTTAAAAAATAAATCACAGTAATTACCTAACCTTTTATCAAAATATTGCATTTCTTAAAAATTACATTTTTTTTAGCGTCACATGTTCTGAATTTCTGACGTCTTGGAGGAAGCTTGTGTTGGCCTTCGCCCTCCTAACTCTGGTGGTATTGTGTGATTGGGGGAGTCCTAACTAGTGGGTGGAACTAGATACAACTAAATTGGGGAGAGAATTGGGGGAAAAAAAAAAAAGACTAACTGCCCACATAAGGACAGTGTGTATAACTATCATTCAGGGCTATTTGCAGTTAGGGCTGGAATTGGGAACCCTGCCATACAGCGCTGAGGTCTTTACCAAGATCTTTACCAAGCAGCTCCAACATAAAATACAGCAAGGAAGGAACTACTAGTACCCATACTGCTCCAACATAAAACTGGTATATACCGCACTGTATCATAAAATCATCACATACACGCCACGTCATCCATCAGTAATAAATGTGGAAACTTTTACTTTATCAGTAGCTTCTGTTGATCAAAAACATCCATGACAATAATGCTAATTCCTTCTAGTTTCCATTACATGCTGCATCAGGCCAACAACGGTGGAAAAGGTCCTCTGTCTGCTCCTCCTTCTGCTGTGCTGTGGCTGTTGACAGCACAGTGAGAGCTTCTGAAAGCAGAGCTGAACTGCATCTCTGGTAAAACTGCAACTTGTTCAACTAAACTGAGTGGATGATAATTCAAAGTGTCCACAATAACGTTACTGTGTGTGTTGAACATCATGGTTCACCAAATTAATTACTACCAAACACTATGAATGCAAAGATTTTACGTTCAGCATTTTACATTCTGCGCTACAATAAATCCAACTAATCAGGACAATTTTGGTCATTCAATACTGTCATACTGGCCACCTCTACGTTATCAAGTGAATACATAATACGCTGGAAACTCAGTATACATCTCAGTCAACTCACTCAGTGACTCCTCTCCATCACATGGCGGTGCTGCTGCTGTGTCTAAGGCCGATGTGTCTGCAGCTGGGTTCCTTAACGGCAAGTCCCCGGATGTAAGAGCGTCTTCAAACGTCTGTGGCGCAGACTTCTTGTTGCGGAACTCTGACACCTTTCCATGGTAAGGCGGCTCAACTGCTTACAGGAAACAGAGAAGAATACAGCACAGCTTGCATTAGTGAGGTCAGGTACTGATGTTGGATGGTCAGTTCTGGATCAATCCAACTCATCCCAAAGGTAATGGATGGAGCTCCATCACTCCAGAGAGTCACCTGCTCCTCAATGATGGGATGGGATAGGAGCTTTGTACTGTATCTGAGCAGGTAGTTAGCTAGGTTTCTCTAGAACAGCGCACTTCACATCAAACCCCTCCGAATGACTATGTTTACGTCTCAACCACTGGATTCTAAAGAAATTTTAAAAATTTGGTGGAGTTTCCCTTTAACATAACCTCTACTCCCACAGAGCTCAACAGAACAGCTCGCTGTCCCTCACATACTGAGGTCACTGAGACTCGTTTAACATACAGAATAAAATGTTTTGATGTGTTTATATTGCACTGCCGTGGCTTTCTCGGCCGTCAGGAAACTACAAAGAAGCTAAAGTCAGCTTTTTATTCGCCTCAGGCGCCAGAATGTAATCGCTGCTCCATTTAAGGTGGAACGGGCAAATTCGAACAAGAAGCCGACTCCAGCCCCATCGGACTAGCGGGCGGACTACAAGGCGGACTACAGAGCGGACTACAGGGAGGACTACCGAGCGGACTTACAGTCCATTTCAGCCATCACCTCCAGCTCGTCCGCGAACTGCTGCTCAAAATCGTCCTCGATTCCGTACATTTCATCATATTCGTCCATTTTGGCGGTGGTTGTCCTTCTGCGGCGGTTCAAAATGTGTGTTTATATAAAAGTAATCCACAGTGTCTCTATATATCGTGTCATTTGTCCCGGCTCCGGTTTTCGCGCTAAAGTTTTGTTCGTTGTGTACACATCCGGGTCATTCTGTTAACTTTCTCCCGCCGGTTGGAGCGCCTTGATTGGGTAGTTGGCTTCAGGTTCTCTCTTCTGATTGGTCGATTTTGACTTCCATCAATCGACTCGCTCTAGCTATGTTCTAAACGACGCTCATGCGACCTATGTGGGGCACTTTGACGGAAGGACAGATATAGTGGACGTTTAGTGGCGTTGTTCCAATACGAAGAGTTGAAAATGGTCCTTTTAAACGGACCGCGTTAAGGGCAGTGGTGGACGAAGTACACAAACCATGTACTTGAGTTAAAGTAGAGATAACCAAGGTAAAATATTACTCCAGTAAAAGTAGAAGTCTCCCTTTAGACCTCCACTTGAGTAAAAGTACTAAAGTATTTGCCTTCAAATGTACTTAAGTATCAAAGTAAAAGTACTAAACGATTAATTATGGCTCTAATGTCCTGCTTCATTGACTCATTTTAGGTGAAAATACTCCAGTGTCACTCTTGGTAAACCAGTCTTTTAATAGAATGTCATTAATTAGTATTATTATAGTATTATTAATTAAAATTATCATCAACACAAACACTGAAGGCAAACAGTTTCCATTAGGTAAAACCACGTGGTTATGAAATAACTTTTTTGCAAACAAGCAAATTTGTGGTTTAAGATTTATTTGCAACTTAATTTAAATAAAAATTACTTTAAATTTAATAAAAACTTTAAACACAGATTCACAAATGAGTTTTCCTTTACTGTATTGCATCTGTAGGTCTCTGTTCATAAACATAAACTAGCCAAAATGAATTTACTATAAAATGAAATAGTCAAATCAGTAGTGGAGTAAAAAGTGAGATATTTGACCTTGAAATGTGGACTGAAAGTAAAAGTCACCAAAAATGGAAATACTTCAGTAAAGTACTGATACCCGAAAAACTACTTAAATACAGTAACGAATTACTTCATTACTGTCCATCACTGGATAAGGGAGATAAAATTTATTGATGACTTGTAGCTAATATTATCATGCCAAGACTGTTATATTACACTGATGTAATTTATACCAAAAAACATGCTAAAAGAGTATTTTCAACTACTGTTTCCACAGGTTAATCTATTTTATCAGCTCCACTTACTATATAGGAGCACTTTGTAGTTCTACAATTGCAGACTGTAGTCCATCTGTTTCTCTGAATACTTTTTTGCCCCCTTTCACCCTTTTATTCAATAGTCAGGACCCCCACAGGACCACCACAGAGCAGGTACTATTTGGGTGGTGGGTCATTCTCAGCACTGCAGTGACACTGACGTGGTGGTGGTTTTAATGCTATGGCTGATGGGTGTGTATAGGCTGGTAGTGGTGGTCTGCCACTCAAGGTAATGCCCAATTTAGTCACAAGGAGGCATCCAAGGAGCAAAAGATTAGGAGGCAGCATGAGAAGTGCTGTTTACAGTCAACCTGACAGGAATTCCATAGATTTTCTTTTTTAATTTCTGTATACTTGAATGATAGAGATGTACATAAAGTCATTCAGAGTGGTTTGATGTGAAACGCTTTAGAAATTTACCAAATCGGAATTCATGACGGTGGTGGTGGTGATGGGAACCAGGGGTCGTGATGAACACCACAGCCATTTTATGTACTATCCAAAACAACCGGTGAACCTACATGTGTCCTCTGAGTTTATATGGATAATCATGGTAAAATTGTGGTACATCTGAAAAATTGTGTTTTCTTTGGGGACTACGTTGCCTTACAACACTCTGCCTGTGTCCCTCCACTCTGAATACACCGTAAAAAATACATTTTATGCCAAAACCCTCTAAAAACTATGCTAAAACTGTGTCTCAGGAAACAGACATTTAATGTAAAAACTTCCCTTGGCATAGAATTTAGAGGCATTAAACAGTTTGGATGTCACCACCACTGCAAACAATTCTGACCCAGTAAGTTTCTCTAGAACAGAACATTTCACACCAAACCACTCTGAATGACTTTGGTTACGTCTCAACCCTTTAATTATGCATACATTTTGAAGCATTGGTGGAATTCCACTTTAAAAATGATCCCAACACATCTGATCCAACTAATCAGCTCATGAACAGCCCTTATATTGAAGTAAGACACCTGCTATATTGAAGTTTGCCAAAGCAGGTTCAGGACCCAGGTTGGGAAATTCTGATTTAAATTTGTGTTTTCTCATAATCTTCCATCAGAATGGAATTCCCGCCTCTAAATCGTCTTCATTTTGATTAAACTATTGTTCAAAAGTCAAAGATCAGCTTTCATTATTTATTCATTTTTCATTTTTATTATTTTCTTTATGGTTATTTATTTTTCAGCATCAAGAAAAAAAGCATTTTCTGTGAAAATCACACAGAAATCATCTAAATATGTTTTTTTTTTTCAATGTTTATAGTGTCCACTCTTTACGTTTATTACAGCTTCTATTCTTTTCCGGAGACTCACTTTCAGTTCTTCAAAGAAATCTGCAGGGATATTTTTCCACACCTCCAAAGTTCAGTCTTAAGCCCAGTCCCATTTCCTCTTTTTACCCCTAATGCTTGTTTTCGAGTGCCTCCTTGCCCCTTGAAACTAAGTTACAAGGGTTAGTGGTTGAAATCTTCCCCTACCAAGTGGGAAAACCCTCAAATAAAAAGAACATTACTTCATTAACAGGCTACTAGCGCTGGTGGCTGTTAGGAGGCCCATTTTCTCTATATCAGTTTTTGAACTCCAGTTTTGGAAAGTCTTATTTTTTCCATTTGATTTTCTTCTTGATTTCATATGCAGTGAAAAAATATGCAGCCTCCTACATTTTCATTGTTTTATCATTTTTCAAATTTGAAAAAGCCTGATTGATGGATTGCCCCAGTGATTTACATAAGCTTATCACAGCAAAATGAAGCTTCCACCATTACTGCTACATTATTCAGTTCATCCTGCTCAGATTTATCTTGTGTACATTCTCTTACCTCTTGGACTGGAGACAAAAACAGTTGCTTAAGCTTTAGAAAAGGCCAAAAATGCATTTTCTAGATTAATTGAAAAGCTCATCCAAACCAAAAAACTGTTTGCAAGATGCTTAAAATGAGTGAGAGCACAAACAAAAATAGATACAGTGACTGAAGAATTCATCTTGTGCTGTACTTTTCGAAGTAGCCCACATGACAATATTGTCATTACCATATTAGAACAGTATATTATATGATTTCTTGATCTGAAGCCTGTGTGTTCGTAGCCCCCGAGATGCTTGATAAGGCCTCAAAATCACAGAATTCTTTATCTTCTGAAGATAAGCAATGCTCGTATGGAGCGTTCAGACTAAAGATGAGTCATGTCTCATATGCAAAAACCGTAAACACGTGTGAATCCTTTGGAATTTTCTAGTTTTCTGCATTGTTTGGTCATAAAATGTGAACTTTTCTTCATCTAAGTAACACAATATAGACAAACAAAATGTGCTAAAGCCAATAGCAAGCAAACAACTACAATGTCTTTATTATACACAACAGTTAAACATTCACAGCACTGGTGAAAAAATAAGTGAACCCTTGGATTTAATACTTTGTCGAACATCCTTTGGCAGCAATGACTTCAAGCACTTTCGTTAGCTGCGAATCAGACCTGCATAACATTCAAGAGGAATATTGGACCATTCTTCCATACGGAGCTGCTTTAGCTCAGCCATATTCTGTGGATGTCTGGTGTGAATGTCTCTCTTGAGGTCATTCCACAGTATATCTAGTGGGTTAAGGTGTGGGCTCTGACTGGGCCACTCAAAAAGGTAGATTTTATTTTTTTGAAGCAATTCTGTGGTAGATTTATTTCAGTGTTTAGGGTCATTGTCCTGCTGCATCACCCAGCTTCTACTGAGCTTCAGTCAGGGGACAGCCACCCCGACATGATCCTGTACACACTTTAGAAAGATGGTTCTTCATTGGTTCTTTAGTAAAGGCAATGGTTCTGTGTAGAGCCATGTGTTCTGAAAAGAAACCATTTCATGGTTAAATGGTCCTTTGCATGGTGAAATGTTTCATCAGACTGATGGAGAATGTGTTGTTTATGGTTCTATATAGAATTTTTTTGAAAACGGTTCCTCTATTGTGACAAGCTTGACGCTGTAATTATAGGAGAAAACTTTTGGATCATTTGTGAATAATATTTCAGCCCTCGGGTATTTTTGTTTGTTCTTTATTGTTACTAAAATGAAGACCAGTCAGTGTGTCCCAATTCAGGGTCAGGATCCTACGAAGGACGCGGTCTACGAAGGCGTGTCCCAAAGTTTACCTACACACATCTATAACCTAAGAATACACTCTTTAAAAAAGCTGGTTCTTCAAAGCATCTTTAATAATGAAAATGACTCTATATAGAACCTTGAACTCTCAACGAATCCTTTGCATGATTAAAGGGTTGCTTGCAGTGTGAAAGGGTTCTTCAGGTTGATGGAGAATGTGCTGTAGATGATTCCTCATAGAACCTTCTTGAGATGGGCTCTAAGTGGCACCAAAAAGGGTTCTCCTATTGTTACAAGCTTGATATCGTAACAATAGAAGAACCCTTTTTGGTGCTATGTAGAACCATATACAACAGGTTCACCATCAATCTGAAGAACTCCTTTACACTGCAAAGAACCCTTTAATCACGCAAATGGTTTTTAGAGAGTTCATGGTTCTACATAGAACCACTTTCTTTACTAAAGAACCTTTAAACAACCATCTTTTTAAGAGTGTAGCTCTGAATAATAAGCCTTAGAGTCTAATAAGCCTGGGATTTTAAGGGGTTAGGGTGAAACGGGACAATGCAAACAGGAAGCCAACTTCAGTCTCGCAATTTTCGGAGGTCTCTCCATCACTGAAACGCCCTTGCCTGATCTATGAACTTCTTTCTCAATCTTGGTTCTTCAGATCTTCTTCTCTTTGGCTGTTTCTCAGCCATCTCTCCTTCTTAACACTGCTTGGAGTTCAGCACATGGCCTCTTCACTTCCCCCTGTTCTGTGCGCGATCACGAACCGATTGGGTGGACTAGTGCTGTTTGTCTCAGCCTGGTTTGTGTACAAACACTGCATTTTTTTTTCCGGCACACAGAACAGACATCTAGTGCACTGTGAGGAGATATTCACTGAATTTGACAAAAGTGTATTGGATTAAAATTGTATTCTGTGCCTTTCAGAAGCCAAAATGGCTACATGCAAGCTAGCACTGCTGAGCACTGAATTGACATCATAAGACTAATTTCACCAAAATGCCCCACACAAGCTAGCAGGCTTTGTCGAATTAACTGTGGTTAAGTTGCTTTTGCAGTCGTGGGCTACAATTTGAGTCGATCTTGTTGATATAGCAGTGTTGAAATCTAATAGTAGACTTATTTTCAGGCGACACCATTTCAGTGCGCAGGGGTGTTAGCATCCTTGTAGCATGAGTGTACCATTATTCATATTTTGACTGCTAAACAACATTCATTCCAAGTAACAGTGAAAATATCGAGCTTGAATTAGTATCGAGCTTGAATTATTTTTATTTACCACAAGCTGCGACGGAGGTGATTTTTGAAATGGCATGAATTTCTCTCACAGACAAAATTCCTATTCGGAAGGGATTAGTTTTCCATGGGGGGGCGTAAAGTTTGCAGTGCTTTGCATGGGATAAGAAACCTTGTCTAAATGACAGAGTTGGCAGTGGCTACTCAATTTATGGGCCACCTTTAGTCCAGAAAAGAGTAGAAATCATGCTAAAACATTTAATTTAGCCATTATTTTGCTTACCCTACCTTTAGTTCGCTGTCTTAAGTGAATGCAGTGTGTCATTAGCATCACATTAGCTTGGGAATTCAGCGCAATCAACTTCACTGCATAAAAACAAGCTTTTTCGTGTCATTTTTACATGTTCTGAGTTGTACACGTAAGACAGGATAGTAGCGTTACATATCAGCCTGATTTCAGCCACAGAGAACAGCGAGGCTGAAGTTAGCTTCGTGTTCAAGAGCAGCATTTTTTGACAGCATTTTTACTGACTTGTCAATTCAGACAGGATCAGTATGACCTGAGGTTACTTCTGCTGCTTGTTTTACAGAAGGTAACAGGCGCTGGAATCATTACTGACATGCCGCATTTGGATGGGACTAAAATCACTGAGAAACGCCAGTAAAAATCAAATTACCCCACCTCCTCATATAAAACTCATCCTGGCTGAAGAAGGCTGAAGTCTGACGAAGTTCCTAACATCCGTCAGACGCTAACTACAGTACTTCAGAGGTCTATTTCAATTTCACTTCACTCTACACCTACTGGAGGTCCTGGATAGCTTACTGGCTGTGATTAGCAGTAGGCTAGTAGCCTAATCAGTGCTTTTCAGTCAGATGTTAGCATTGGAAAACAGCATTAGCTCTGCGTCAGGGCTCTGTACTGCAGGAGGCACTGTAAAACTGCCTTGAGGTAAAATATATGTTCATATGTGTGTTATAAGCTTCAAATAAAACATGGAATGTGTTGTACATGCTTCAGTTGTCCACGTTTAGTCCAGAACCTCCAAAAACATTCATGTGAATCGTCGTTAGCTTGGTGCTAACATAATACTAGGATCTCATTTTTCCGCTTGTTTTTGACCGAGTTCTGACATTCATGGGTTTGCCACTGTTTTAAAAGAAACAACCACCTTGCATGTTAACTATTTTAAAATGAGCATGCACTCCCAGCAAACATTCAAATGTGCTGTCTATTCAGCCCATTGAAGGGAGATTCCACCAATTTTTCAAAATGGCTGCATTATTCAGTCATTCAGGTAGTCTGATGTGAATTGTTTCATTGTTTATTTTAGAGAAACTTGCCAACTCGGATTTCTTTACAGTGGTGGTGATAGGAACCAGGAGTCTACAATACAAATGCAGTATCACAGTAGCTTCAGAATTTTATATGTAATGTGATGATGTTAAAATAGTGGAAAGTTTTTTTCGTAATAAAACAGCATCTGACTGCAACGATTTTTTGTAATAACTTTCTGTGAGGTAACTTATATAGACATTAAACTCTATATCACCACCACTGTGAACAATTCTGACTCATTACAATTCTCCACAACATAACATTTCACATAAAACCATTTTGAATGACTTTGTTTCCTTCTCAGTGACTGCAGTATGAAGATTTTTGGAAACTGGAATTCCACTTTAAAAACCTGACCTTAAGCTGTTATAAAGTATGTTAAAACCTACCAGGACTGAAAAAACGATTGCCTTGGGGGCCTCAGTGCTACACAGTGTAGTGTTCTCCCTGCTTTGAAACGTTCAGCACATGAGTTTATCAAACCCTTCGTGAACGAATCAAGTGTGCTGGAACATGGACAACAAACTGTGCAGTTCAGGAACCAGGAATGCACACTGTCACTCTTATCTAAGTGAATGATATCTTAAAAATGCTTTATGCTTAAAAACATATGCCACTATCCATACCAACTTACATTAATGTTTTGTATTATTCTGTATTATTATGCCACTTCATCACATCTTATGTATATATATATATATATATATATATATATATATATATATAAATATATATGTGTGTGTGTGTGTGTGTGTTTAGAAGTCAAGTCATGTACAACTTAAATGTACTTTCCCTAACAAAAGAGAAAAATGCAGCTCCCAGTTAATGTTGACGGTGACGTCACACGCCACAGCTTTGTATCCGTTCTAAGAACAGCTCTCCTCACCCAGGTTAGGCTCATCATCCACTGATGGACTCCGCACAGACTCGGCCTCTGATCAGCGCCGCAGACTCGACCTCAGATCAGCGCCGCAGACTCGGTCTCTGATCAGCGCCGCAGACTCGGCCTCAGATCAGCGCCGCAGACTCGGCCTCTGATCAGCGCCGCAGACTCGGCCTCTGATCATCGCCACAGACTCGACCTCAGATCAGCGCCACAGACTCGGCCTCAGATCAGCGCCGCAGACTCGGCCTCTGATCAGCGCCACAGACTCGGCCTCAGATCAGCGCCGCAGACTCGGCCTCTGATCAGCGCCGCAGACTCGGCCTCTGATCATCGCCACAGACTCGACCTCAGATCAGCGCCGCAGACTCGGCCTCTGATCAGCGCCGCAGACTCGGCCTCTGATCATCGCCACAGACTCGACCTCAGATCAGCGCCGCAGACTCGGCCTCAGATCAGCGCCGCAGACTCGGCCTCTGATCAGCGCCACAGACTCGGCCTCAGATCAGCGCCACAGACTCGGCCTCAGATCAGCGCCACAGACTCGACCTCAGCGCAATTGTTATTGTTCCACATGTTCCAAAGTGACATCTAGCTCGTTCCAAGCCCCTCCCACCCCGGCGGCGCCGATTGGCTGAAGGCGCTGCCACTCAAATCGCCCACGTTGTCCCAGTCCGTCCGTCCGTCAGCTACACGGAAATGTGGAGCGGTTGTTGTTGTGAAAAAAACATGGACGCGGCGAGCGCAGCGCCGAGTTTCCTGACAGCGGCTGTGAAGCAGCTCGGCGAGCCTGGCGCTGGGAAATGTCACTGACGGGCCCGCCTGACCGCTGCTCGGTGTCACTTTGAGAGCTCCGCGGACCGGAGAGGATGGAGCGGCGGCGCTTGTGGTGTCTGTTCCTGCTCGTGTGTGTCGCGGCTTCACAGGTAAAAGGAGAAAAATAAGAAATAAACTCTTTATTTTCACTCCAGACGGAGAAGCGTCGGCGGGGGAGCAGCGCCGCGGAGGCGAGGCTTCTCTTTCGCCCGCTTCTTGTTCGAATTTCCCCGTTCCACCTTAAATGGTGGAGCCGTCGCGTTATGACATTTAAGGTGGAACAGGGAAATTCGAACAAGGAGCTGGCGAATAGTCAGCCGACTTCAGCTTGGCGGTGTGGAGGGTCTATTTTTGGTCTTGGGGTTGGGGAGGACAAGCTGGGGGGCGCAGCCATGACCGTGTGACCCCCTGTGTGAAAGTAATGAAACTAAAACCGGAGCGACTTTATGTGGGAAAGCACCTCAGATATCGAGATATATTTAACCGTGGGCTCGTGTTTTTGTTGTGTCAGACACACAGAGCCGCGTGAGGGGAAACTTTCCTCCGCGAGGCGAAGTTAAAGTTACCGTTACCGTTAAAGCCGTTGGAGCGTTGGAGAGCGCGCGCCCCGCTTTGTGCTGACGAGCTCGCGCTGCGCTGTTTTGAATGGGTGTTGTGAATCATTGTGGGACATCATTTTCCATTGTAAGAGCACTATTATCTCATTTTAGCCGGCTGAATTAACAATGAGCAGTGCTCTGTATCAGTAAGCTATGGAAGCCCATTCCCGCCATTTAACATATATATATATATATCATTATTGTTTCATTCTTTAGTGAATTGCAGTGCCATTATTTCAGAATACTAAGAGGCTGAAATACTGTCTCATTATTTTGAGATATTATCTCATTATGTTAAGATGCTAAGTCATTATTCTGAGATAAGTCATTAATTTGTGATACTATCTCATTTCTTTTGGATATTATCTAATTAATTTGAGAAACTATGTCGTTATTTTGAGATACTATCATTAGTTTGAGACACTATCTCATTATTTTGAGGTATTCTTATTAAGATACTAAGTCATTATTCCGAGATATTAAGTCATTGATTTGTGATACTATCTCATTTCTTTCAGATATTATCTAATTAATTTGAGAAACTATGTATTTATTTTGAGATACTATCATTATTTTGAGGCACTATCGCATTATTTTGAGGTATTCTTATTAAGATACTAAGTCATTATTCTGAGATACTAAGTCATTATTTTGAGATGCTGTCATTATTCTGAGATCATTATTTTGAGGAACGTTCTTGTTATTTTGAGAAGACTTTCTTATTGCTTTCTTGTTATTGATATTTAAACATATATATATTTACATTTTAATTTTAAATGCATAAAGCATTTCAAAGTAATGAGAATGTTTCTCAAAATAATCAGATAGTACCTCAAAATAATGACTCAGTAATTGACTTAAAAACGGAAAAATAATAATTAGGTCCTGGAATTTTTGTATTTTAAGTGGCGGGAATGAGCTTCCATAATAATTAGGAGGGAAGGCACAATGCTGTTATTATTGAAACCTTGAATACGTCATTCTGAGTGGTTTGATGTGAAATGCAACATTCAAGAGAAACATAGAGACTCAGATTTCTTTACAGTGGTGCTGATAGGAACCAGGAGTCACAATGTCTACAACACAAATACAGCCACTTTGTTTACTATACACAAGTACTATACACAAGGACTCTTTTGCCTTACAGCACCTTATATTTATTTCTTCGCCCAAAATAAAAGTCCATTTTTTCCAAAAAATATTTTCTGTCATAAAAAAAAACATAAAACAAAGTCTCAGACATCAGACAGCTTATTCATAACCATTTCATGTAATAACTTCATGTAAGGGAGCTTTCGGAGGCATTAAACACTTAAGAGGTCTGGTTCTCATCGCCACCACTGTGAACAATTGTAAGCCTGCAGGTTTCTCAAGAACTCGAGTCAAACCACTTGGAATGACTTTGTTTACATCCTATTAAAGTATGCAGACGTTCTTAGAAATTGGTGGAATTCTCATTTAAGATGAACATCTTAGGCCATCATACCCAAACTACTCAAACACCACTCTACAGGAAGAAATACACAGTTCACATTGCCTCAGTTTGTGCTATTTCAGGACAGATTTGTTACAGTATGGGATTGGATTCATTGTTTTTTTTCATCTGATATACAGTGCAGCATTTATGCCGATATTGACCTGATATCGATACCTGGTATCAGATCAGTACCCTCTCTAACAAGTGGTATTCTTGACTAATAACTAGCAAAATGTATTTTTTTGATTGTTTGTGCCTGATTATTGTGACAGTTTTGAGAAGATTTTGGCTTAAAACCTATTTTAAAATGCATTCATAGCAGAGAGGAACATTCAGGGCCCTGTAAGGCAAAATAGAACCCATGAAAAATTATAATACTTAAAACTTAGACTTTAAAATTGTAGTACAAACTTCAGATTGATCATTACTTTACAATAACAAACATTCCATATGAAAACTCAGAAGACAAGCATAGATTCACTGGTGAATAAAATGGATATGTTTGCATTCCCCTGGTTCGTCTCACCGCTACTGTGAAGAAAACAAAGTGGAAAGTTTCACAATGAACCATTTCACATCCAGCCACTCTGAATGACCTTCTTTCCATCTCAATGACTGAATTATGCCAACATTTTTAAAAATTCCCTTAAATTGCTTTATCTTTTCAAGTCATCCAGTGGTGTGAGTGATTCATGCCATACACCAATACACACTTTAATGTGCGTTTAGTTGGACGGAGGCAGAGAAGGAGAGATATTTAGGTGTTCACTACTTTTAACAAGAATTGAAAAATTGAGTGTTTCATATTACGGAGGAAAAATGAAGTTTTGTGTTTCGTTAATTAGGAGCTTGAAAAGCCATTGTACCACCAGTCTATGCGATGCAAATAAAGGTGTGGCCCGTCCCGCCGACACTGTTTAGTGAATTGTGCTCATGTTCAGTTAAAGTGGATGGCTATATCCTTCACACACACTGTTCTCAGCCTTTCAAGTGTAGTGCATGTGTGCTTTGCTCAACGGCTGTTGAGCAGGATATCCTGGTTAATGCTAGCGTATTGCAGTCTACACACACACACACACCTTGGGAACACAGTGGATGTTTCAGACAGCATATCAGGTGTCAATTATTTTTAAACAGTGTGATCTTTAACAGTGCTACTAGATAATGTTCTCTTTCTGGTGTGTTACTTTATTCATTTTTCTTACAAAATGACTTTTGAATGAACACCACTAAATGGTTTGATTTCCTTTCTTTCCCCATAAGTTCTAAGGATTGTTCTGTGGCTCAAGGCTGAGGGAAGGTGTTGAGTTGGAAGCGCAAACAACTGAAGCATGTGATGCACACTGTGACGTTATACTAAGTTCTATGCCTAATAACACCCTTTTCCAGTTAACCAAATAGTTTGCATTATGTGAATGTGTCTTCAGAAAGTCGTGACTAGTGAACAGATTATATGGGCAGTGCAATGTGGACAAAGAATAATACAGCGACCTCTCAATTAACATTGTTAACTGTTGACTGCGTCAACAACAAATGTGAAATGTGATTTTGAAAACTAAGTATTCCGCAAAAATCAGAGACCAGCCTTTATTGATGTAATTTCCAGTCAAAAAAGCCATTAAATACACATTAACGAAACATTTATTTAATGGAAAATTACACAGAAGCTTCCAACAGTAAGTATAGTATCAAATCTATCAGTATTTAAATCATCCACTGTTTACTTTTAAGCACTGCCATTTCCTAACTCACACCAATGTGTGACTCCAAACGCTTTTGCCAAAAACATCACTGACATTATGTTCCCCTTCAAAGAGACACCAACATTCACACAAGCAGCTATCCAAACTCCCTTTAGCTGACTTGCAGATTTCTTTCTCATGTTAATCTAAAGTGGCTGAAGGAAACATTTATGAGGAGATTAGATGCAAGGTAACCTCCATGTATAAGCATGTGGGATATACATGCTTATGTATACATACACACACATATATGCTTTCAGAACTATATAACGTACATTTTAGTTCCAGAGTAGTTACAAAGGAGAATAAGTGAAAAACAGGAGTTTCCAAAACCAGTTTTCTTAAAATTAAAATTTAAATTATTAAAAGATACAGAAAACGGGACTCCTAACAACCACACAAGACCTGGTAGACACCAAAACTGCCCCCATCAGATAAACAGCACTTAAAGCTTTCATCTTTGAGAGAGAGGAGAAAATCAAGCTGCTTCAGATCTGAAAGCATCCACTGGTGTTTCTGTCCATCCTTCCACTGTGAGAAGACGACTCAGCGCTGTGGGTCTGAAAGGATGTGTAGCTGTCAAGAAGCCTCACTGAGAAAAGGAGACGGACACATCAAACAAAGAAGCTGAACAATGGACTGACCACCCCAGAGTCCAGACCTCAACACCACTGAATGTGTTTATTACTTGGATTGTGTGAAGTAGAAAATGCAACCAACTTCTCAGACTGAACTTTGGAGGTGTAGAAAAATATCCCTCCAGATAAAAAAAGAATATGAGCTGTAATAAAGGTAAACAGCAGATGATCTCAATACTGAAAAAAATGATATTATATTTAGTTGTTGAGGCTTCTGTGTATTTTTCATGTATATTTATATGTCTGATTTTTCCTGATGCAGAAAAAATAAACAAATTGTACTTACTGTCTGCTTTGACTAGAAATTGGGTCTTTCAGTTTTGGACAGCTCGGTACAACTAAACATAAAATAAAAATTTAAATTGCACCCTACTGTAAGCAAACGCTGTATTAGTCTAAACTGTGCACAAAAGACAATATTTTGGATATTAATGTCTTTTATTATGTTTTTTTTTTTCTGTTTCAGGTAAACAGTCTTTAAACTCTAAAAATCACTCTTCTCTCTTCCTTTCAGTGTGCAGGAAGCAGCTCAGTTACTCTCCCTGAATCTCTGCTTTTTGTCTCTACGCTGGATGGTAGTTTACATGCTGTGAGCAAAAAAACAGGGGATATCAAGTGGACACTGAAGGAAGGTACCTGCATACATTTATGCTGCTGCAAATTCTCTTATCTCTCTGTTTCTCCCCCTTTTGAATGTTGTGTAGATTTTTACCTCTTGAAGGCTAACGCTATGGTTGTGGGTCCACACCTCCTTGTCATTTCTCATTCTTACTTACATGTAAGTCCCAGAGTAGTTATAAATATGGCATAGTTACTGAATAACAAGCCTTCAGTTTAATAAATGAAGAATAAGCCTGGGGTTCAAGGAGTTACTAGGGAATGTATAAGTATTCATTCATTCTTTTTCATTAATTTCATTCAGTATGGATTTTAAGTATGTCCAAATAATCTTGTCATTTCACTTCTCTCCCAGATCCCATCATCCAAGTTCCAGTTTATTTGCCAGAGTAAGCATGTGTCGCTGTTTCTTTTAATCTGTTTGTTTTTTGTCTTTGTATGTATGAGTCTGTTTATCTGAATGCCACGACTTTTCTTCTGTAGACCAGGTTTCCTCCCTGACCCTAATGATGGCAGCCTGTATGTGCTTGGAGGCAAAAACAAAGAAGGTCTTATGGTGAGTGTATTGATCCACCTCCGTCGGTTTCTGTGAATTTTAAAGATGTGCTTTTGTAAACAAAGAGATGTTTCTTCTCTGTGCAGAAACTGCCCTTCACTATTCCCGAGCTGGTCCATTCATCTCCATGCAGAAGCTCAGATGGAATCCTTTACACTGGTAAATCATCCTGCTGACTTCTAGTTTTTGCATGATTTTTGTCATTTGCTCTAGACCCCATGTGTCAAACACAAGGTCCGCGGTCTTACACAATCCTATCCGGCCCGCAAAAGTATTTTAATTTTCTATTAATATTAGCTCGTTTCACAGTGAGCTGCACTACAGTCCCCAGCATGCACTGCAACGTAATGTGCTCCGACTCTCCTACCCCAACAATAATCTATGGGACAGCGGTTACACCTCAGTTCTGCACTATTCTACGCAGTTCCACACCAGTCATATCACCAAACACACCAACTGCAGTTCAGCCAATATAAACACCAACGTTAGCTCAGAAATTGAAGCAAAGAAAGGATGCCAGGTATCTAGGTTTAAAAGACTGAGCTCCTGGGGACATTTAGATTTTGAATATTTTAAGTATTAATGTAATATTTCAAGGTCTACTACAAGCACCTATATTTTACTGTTGAAGTGTATTTTGAATAAACAATGGTCAGTTTTTTAGCAAAATGTTAATTAATTTTTTTTTTAATGTGGCCCTTTTAATGGCTGAGTTTGACCAGCAAGTTCTTATCCAAGCATAATTGATAGGCCAGGACAAAGCTCATTAGCATTTACTCATTATTCTGTTACAAAAAACATGAAAGTAGATGGTATGCAGAAAATATTCATGCAGCATCAGGATGGAATAATGTGTAATGGACCATTGTACATTGAGGAAAAAAAACAAGTGATTTTTGTAAAAGAATAACCAGTGACGTCATATAGACTCTTTGGCAACTCATTGTTGACCTATTGCAGTTGTATCAGCTAACTTTGACACAGTGTTGATGTATTCACCAAAATCTTTCAAGTTCAGGAGTTCAAGAGGCTTTATTGTAATTTCAGCTATATACAAGTGCACAGTGAAAGAAAGTGCAAGACAATACAATATACACTGCAGACAATACAGCACAATAAATGCAAAAGACTTACAATAAATACAGGAACACAGTACACAGTACTGAGAGTATGTAGATTGCGCAATGCAGGATGTAACATACTATGACATAGTCTAGCATTTATGAGCATAGCAGTTACTGAGGTAGCAACCAGAACAACAGCAACGGCATACAGTATTTGGATGAGACAGTATTCTAGCAGCCAAATTGTTATAGAAATGTATCATTATCATCAGTATCATTGCTGTGAAGATCATTATGCTGTTCCACCTTTTGTGCAAACTAATATCCTTTTATTAGGGGAGTCAGTGTTTACTTTGAGTTCATGAGTAAGGGCAGTGCCTGTTGGGCATGTTTAACTGAACTGCTCAGAACAAGAGTTCCTGTTTAAACTAGCTTTACAAAGGTCAGAAATGTTTAGGAAGGAATGCTTGAGGCTTGCCAGCTCTTCTTAAACTGAGCCGCTCAAGAAATGAGCTTTAAAAAGACAACCTGGTGACCTTGTAAGCTTTTTTGATAGTCTTGCATAGTCTTGACTCACTGTGTTTGCTTGTTTGACGCAGGTAAAAAACAAGACACATGGTTTGTGGTGGATCCCCAGACAGGTGAAAAACAGACAAGTTTAAGCACTTCTTCCTCCGACTCCATCTGTCCTTCTGCTCCTCTCCTCTACATTGGACGCACAGGTTAGCACACGCACAGCATCCATTTCTGCCCAACAGACCTATTTCTGCATTCGTTTCCATAGTAAACATACAGTAATTTGAAGTAGTATTTAAACTAAATTAGATAAATAAAGGCAAATAATCAGCAGAATGAGTGCACAGGGACTCAGTGCTCAAGGGCCAATTTTCCCAGACCCAGATTAGGCCCAGATCATTCACCACTAGCTGGTAAACTAGCATTAAGAGTTGGCAGTAAGAGTCACCCTGCATTCACACCGGCAGCGATGCGACAAAGTGGCCGGAGGTCATTCATTTTCAATGAGAGCTGGCGATTTCCGGCGACAGGAGGCGGCACGAACGTTAGAGACACAAAGTGGGCGGAGTCGGCAACGCGGCAAAGTTGAGCTGAGTTTAACTTTACACAAATAAGGAGCGAAGTGTTGTGGAGATTACCAATAGGAATTAAGGAATTGAGCCAGAGAACTCTTCAGTGTCTTCTGGGTTTCTCAGACGCTAGAGGGCGCTCCCGAGCAAGTCCGAAATGAATGGGTTGAAATTGAGCATTTGAGCAAATGCAATTATTTCCTGAACAATGAATAGCATTAAACATTTTAACACTGCTTTTACATTTTAAGAGCTTTTAGACTCGAGTTATAGGAGTTTAAAACGGCACCTCATGTACGTCCATGACGTCAGTGAGCGCGAACAGCCAATGAGCTGCTCCGCTCGCCAACCAATCAGCACTCACTGGCAGTAATGCCCGCCTTCTGCTGCACAAAACCCGTTTGCTGTAGAAAAAAGGAAAAACATAGGTAAGTTTTCTTTGCTTTTTTTAGTGAAATACATCCTTCTACCTTCTAAAATTAAAGAAACGTTCTGGGAAAATGATTAGAAACTATTTTAACTTTTCGTTTTTAGCTGTTGAGCCCCATTTACTCCCATTCATTGAGGACTCCCTCGCGGGCGCCCTCTGCTGTTTAGCAGTCGAGTTTTTGTATAATGAGGGGAAAGGGAATATTAACCATACCATGCTAATGAAAAAAAAAGAGCTGTAGAAGAAACATCAAAGTCCATGTTGTGCACATGCACACACAAAAAACACTGGACAGTTACCAAGATATTAAAATTTGTATACATAATGTCTACAGTCCAGCTCTCTCGATAAATACTCATAATGTCCACTGTAACCATTTCCCTTTCCTCTAATGTGCTTGCCTCTAGAGTACATGATCACCATGTATGACACAAAAACACAGGAGCTAAGGTGGAACGCCACCTACAACGACTACTCTGCTCCTCTCTACGATGATCAGAAATACGACTACAGTAAGTTCCACATAGACACACACATTCAGCATATAATAGCTCAGTGTCACAATATGAAAAATTAAACACCAACATGTGAGTTATATCACATGCAAGGCACTAGCTTCTTCATTGTGACCTGTATCATTCACATGCCATGAATAGAATCATTTTATAGTAATTGTTGCTACATTAATGGCATGTCTATGTGGGGAAATTGTTTGATCACTAGAGTTTTTGATTGCTTTCCAACTTCAGACCCAAAGGGAAGTTAAAATAAGCAAAAATTATGAAAGTGTGAAAACTGTGCCCTGCCTTTTTAACATGGTTGACTAAGCACTTGAGAGAAGAACTAGTTTAACATAGATGCATCTTTTTACACTGTTACCTCACTCTAAGCTTGTGGAAAATAATCACCAGTTTTGCACTGTGTTGTAACTTCCTACTACTAGCCTTTCTTACAGAGGGCCTAGACCACTGAAGTGATGTTGTCATTCTATAGTTGGTGTCATTGCCATATTAGAAACTCTGGGTCTAAGCTGTTCTTTTCTATGGCAAAAATGAATGGGATTTTCAAAAACACTGCTGTGTGGTCAAGAAAAAAAAATGTTACAAACTTGATACGAAAAATACCCCAAAACAAATCAGCAAGCTTTGTCAAGTGTGGTAGTCAAGTTGCTTTGGCATTAGTAGAGTACATTAGGAGCAATACAGTCAGAGCAGGTGGTGTTATTATATAATAGTAGTTTAATAGTAGACTTACTGTCATGTGTATGTAGGACATGTCAGGGTGTGATAGTGGTGATTTTCGAAAATCCTATTTTACCCATAGAGAAATCTAGCTTGGACCCAGTTATGGGCATGATGCCAACCTCAGACAACACACAACTCTCAGTACTAAATAAACTGTAGTTCAGAAGTTTGGAATCAGAAAATTGGAATCTCTATTTTCAGTAACATAATACATAATACTATTTTTTGCACGTGTATATATGTATCTGTGTGTATATATATATATATATATATATATATATATATATATATATATATATATATATATATCCTTGTTTCTACGCTCATTTTCCATTTTATCAGCTCCACTTACTATATAGGTGCACTTTGTAGTTCTACAATTACAGACTGAAGTTAGTGTGTCTTGCGCTGGTCTGAGTGGATCAGACACAGCAGTGCTGCTGGAGTTTTTAAACACCTCAGTGTCACTGCTGGACTGAGAATAGTCCACCAACCAAAAATATCCAGCCAACAGTGTCCTGTGGGCAGCGTCCTGTGACCACTGATGAAGGACTAGAGGATGACCAACAGAAACCGTGCAGCAGCAGATGAGCTATCGTCTCTGACTTTACATCTACAAGGTGGACTGACAAGGTAGGAGTGTCTAATAGAGTGGACAGTGAGTGGACACAGTGCCAGCAGCACTGCTGTGTCTGATCCACTTGTACCAGCACAACACACACTAACACACCACCACCACGTCAGTGTTACGACAGTGCTGCTCTGTGAGGGTCCATGGGGGTCCTGACCACTGAAGAACAGGGTAAAGGGGGGCTAACAAAGTATGCAGAGAAACAGATGGACTACAGTCTGTAACTGTAGAACTACAAAGTGCACCTATATAGTAAGTGGAGCTGATAAAATGGACAAAGAGTGTAGAAACAAGGAGGTGGTCATGATGTTATGCCTGATCGGTGCGCATATATATATATATATGTATATATATATATATATATATTTAGGAAGAGAGTGAGTATGTGTCATATTTGAGTCACTTTTTTGTATGTGTTTGTGGTCATACCCCGAATGTTTTTAATTGATATGCGTATGCGTATGTATCAGAGATGTCCCACTTTGCGTCCAGTGGGGATGGCCTGGTGGTGACTGTGGATCGGGACTCTGGTGAGGTTCTGTGGATGCAGAAGTTTGACTCTCCGGTGGCTGGGTTCTACTTATGGACCCAAGACAGCCTGCGCCGAGCACCGCACTTGACTGTAGCCACAGAAACTCTGAGATACCTTACATTCACTGCCCAGAACACTCAGTCTCACACCATGAGATGGGCCTACCAGTTCACCCAGGAGCAGCACAGCACCAAGACACACCTTGTGTAAGACATCCACTGCTGTGCATGTTGATATTAATATTCAAAATATCTCATATTTTAGAAATGGCTGTCAGTTCCCAAGGCAGATAAATAGACAATACATCAGTACAAATAGATAATTACAGTATATTAATTACCACTTACTAACATCTTGTTGTTCTCAGAAAAAGAAAGTTATTTATTAATAAATTAAGAAAATAATCACTAACATGACAAACTCTTGAACAGTAGTGTATATACACATATGGAGATGCAGTGAATGTGGTTTGGTTTTTTTGGTAATATTTATTTATTTATTTATTTATTTTCAGTCCTACACTGTATGTTGGGAAGATGGATTCACATCTTTATGCTTCCACTTCGCTTGTGCATGAAGGAGTTGCTGTAGTGGTAAGTTCCACTCTCAGTCATTCATTACCACTAGTGAACCAAGTTGACCCTTCACTGACCTTTTCCTTTCACCATGGCAGCCTCATGGCCTCACTGTGGCACGGATTGAGGGGCCAATCACGGCTGATGTAACAGTGGGGAATGGGCGGAGCGAGTGTGAAATCACACCAAGCACTGAAGTAAAGTATCCGCCAGGAAGCACCAACCCTCTGCAGAACCAGTGGCTGCTGATAGGTTTGTTCTACACACTAGCCCTCATAACACATACACATGCAATGCATATAAGACGTAAAAGCACGGACACTTAATTGAATTTGCTATGACAAAGTAACACATCCCTTTTTGTATGGAGCCTCAGAACTGAAGCCTTACCATAGATATTTGCAATGGTTATGTTGTGATAGATTTAAACCCACAGCATTAGTTGAGATAGTAATAAGCTAAATGTATACAAAACCATCATTTACAGTGTACTTTGTATCGAGAGATGTCTGTCCCGTACCCTAACCGAGGGGTCGGCAACATGTGGCTCCGGAGCCTCATGCGGCTCTTTTACTGCTCCACAGCAGAATTAGATTTTAGGTAAAAATAAAATAATCCTCCTTTGCAGTAAAATAAAGCTCTGCAGATCGTTCAAACACAGTTTTAACAATAAATGGTCTTAAACGTTGGAGTTATTGTAGCCTATGACTGCTAATTCACCGAAGGTTGGCGCACAGACTGCTGGTCGCCACTGCAACGCAGACAAAAATCTCACCTAGCTATTAGCTGACGAAAAGGCACAGAGAAACAATTAAGATGAACATCGATAATTTGGAGACAAATGAACTCATTTGCGTTTATAATCACTCCAGCTGGTTTCCTGATATGTTTAATCTGCAACAAGAAACTGTCAAACACTAAAAAGTTGTGAAGATGAAGTCAGTTTCTCATTCACCAGGTTCTTATTCAAATTGTCCCGTTCCGTCTTAAATGGTAAAGCAGTTGCATTCTGGTACCTCAGGCAGTTAAGGTGGAATGGGAAAATTAGAACAAAAAGCTGGCGAATGAGAAGCTGAAAAGCCGAACGTTGAGAGACAATTACAAGAAACTATTCTACTTTTGTGGTAAAAGGTTTTCTGGTGGAGATGCGAGAAAAACGGCAACGTTGTAGCAGAGCAAAGTAAGTCTGCGTTATTTTTAGCCTTTATTTAGTCGTTAATTTAATATTTTACATTTACATTTATGGCATTTACAATTTACATTACATTTACGCTCTTATCCAGAGCGACTTATAATTTGACCTTTTACATTTTACACAGGTAGGCGAAGGTAGTGTTAGGAGTCTTGCCCAAGGACTCTTATTGGTATAGTGTAGGGTGCTAACCCAGACAGGGGATTGAACCGTTTTATACTATTATTATTAAACTAGTACATCGGCACATACTGAGACATATTTACAGCCAAGATGGAAAAAAGGACATAAAACATTGTGGCTCCCAAGGTGGTTTGATTTTTGTTGAAAGGACAAAATGTCTCTTCTTAACATTTGGGTTGCGACCTCTGATCTAACTCCTAAGTTTATACTTGTAAAAATAATACTTATATTTTTTGGGGTTTTTTTTCAATATTTTTTTCTTAAAATATCATTTTTGAAGCTGAATAATTTAGATTTATCATGACTTTAGTTGTTAAAAAAAACACATTTTCATGACACTACAGCAACATGAGTTTTAATCCATAGGTGGAGCCTTATTTTAGCCACGCCCCTGCATTTTAGAGCAGTAAATGTGTCCCAGAGTCTGAATATTAATGTGTAACATTAAGAATTGCCACTTTCGTAACACAGAAATGTGTTTTGAACCAGATCAGAAGAATGATCCATATAATGCTCATTAAAACGTTTTAATCAGCAATTATGTATAAAAACAATAGACAAACACTCGTGGGAGACCACTGTAAACATTCAAACTGTGAAGTTAGACTGAAGACTATTGAAGACAATATGAGCTAATAATAAAAAGCCCTTTGCCTGCCAGATGAAGACGAGATCGTGAAAATGGTGTGCAGACCGCTGATCTAGATGCAGTAGCTTTTTCCACATTCACTGATTCACATAAAGACCTAATAGATGTATATTTTTTAAGCCAACATGAAAACTAAAAAAAGACTCAGTGTAACAATTCTACTTAATCATCATTGATTCATGGATTCATGCAGTGTATTTTTATGTCTTTTGTGTATTCAGGCCATCATGAAGTTCCCCCTCTCGCCCACACCACCATGCTGAGAGAATTTCCGGATAATCTACAGCGTTCTGGTGATGTCATCCCTCCTCGTGGTTCTGCTTCCTCATTTCGATCTGGACCTCACCCAGTGAGTCATACACTCGCACAACAGTGGACCAATACCGTGTGTGACTAGCAGAGCCAGTTTAAGAGGAGCCTGGCCACTTCCTATTTCTCCCGTTATGTTAAAAACATGACTGCCAGAGGGCGCCTGCGAGCAAGTTCTAAACGAACAAGGGAAAAGAAGCTAAACAGCTAAAACTAAAAGTTTTACAGCAAACAGGTTTTTGGAAGCAGGACGCTAGCATTACTGCTACTGAGTGCTGATTGGTTAGCATTACTGCTACTGAGTGCTGATGGGTTAGCATTACTGCTACTGAGTGCTGATTGGTTTGCATTACTGCTACTGAGTGCTGATGGGTTTGCATTACTGCTACTGAGTGCCAATTGGTTAGCGTCACTGCTACTGAGTGATGATTGGTTAGCGTTACTGCTACTGAGTGCTGATTAGTTAGGAATACTGTTACAGAGGGCTGATTGGTTTGCATTACTGCTACTGAGTCCTGATTGGTTAGCGTTACTGCTACTGAGTGCCGATTGGTTGGCGTTACTGCTACTGAGTGATGATTGGTTAGCGTTACTGTTACAGAGGGCCCATTGGTTAGCGTTACTGCTACTGAGTGATGATTGGTTAGCGTTACTGCTACTGAGTGATGATTGGTTAGCGTTACTGCTACTGAGTGCTGATTAGTTAGGAATACTGTTACAGAGGGTTGATTGGTTTGCATTACTGCTACTGAGTCCTGATTGGTTAGCATTACTGCTACTGAGTGCCGATTGGTTGGCGTTACTGCTACTGAGTGATGATTGGTTAGCGTTACTGCTACTGAGTGCTGATTAGTTAGGAATATTGTTACTGAGGGCTGATTGGTTGGCATTACTGCTACTGAGTGCTGATTGGTTTGCATTACTGCTACTGAGTGCTGATTGATTGGCATTACTGCTACTGAGTGCAGATTGGTTAGCATTACTGCTACTGAGTGCTGATTGGTTTGCATTACTGCTACTGAGTGCTGATTGATTGGCATTACTGCTACTGAGTGCTGATTGGTTTGCATTACTGCTACTGAGTGCTGATTGATTGGCATTACTGCTACTGAGTGCAGATTGGTTTGCATTACTGCTACTGAGTGCTGATTGGTTAGGAATACTGCTACTGAGTGCTGATTGGTTAGGAATACTGCTACTGAGTGCTGATTGGTTAGGAATACTGCTACTGAGTGCTGATTGGTTGGCATTACTGCTACTGAGTGCTGATTGGTTAGGAATACTGCTACTGAGTGCTGATTGGTTAGGAATACTGCTATTGAGTGCCGATTGGTTAGCTGAGTGAAGCAGTTTGTGCTCACTGACTTCATGAATTTACGAAACACCCTTATAAACTCCTATAACTGGAGTTTAAAAGCTCTCAGAAATGTAACACCTGTGTTAAAATGTATGCTGTTCTGTGTGTTTAAGCACTGACAGTCTATGATTGTATGATCAAATGCTCCATATTAACCCATTCATTTAGAACTGGCTCAGGAGCGCCCTCTAGCATTTGACATACCTGGAAGACATTATTCATTCATGCATTCATCTTCTAATCCCCTTATCTTCCTGGGTTGTGAGGCAGGAGACGTTACTGAGTGACATTTCTCCTCACTACAAATTCTCTGCTATAAGCATTCGGGGCAGTAGAACGCTACAGTCACAGCAGTATTTAGCCAGGCTCAGGTCTGAGGTGTAGCACTGTTCTATCAAGGACAGAAGAAGTAAAGCACAGAGGTGGAAACCTCAAAGTCTGAGAGTGTTTTTTCTTGGAATGGTTTCAGTGAGCTTGAGTTCAGTAGTGAAATCTTCAGCTCAGAAGTATACATGGCAAAGAAACGGCTCAAATGATAATCTGAAACACACCCGCAGTCTTTTGAAAGAATACTTTGCTAAAATGACATTCTAGGAATAGTCTTCTTAAAATTTGATTTGACAAAAAAAACGTAATGCAATGTCCAAATAAATCTTGGGGCCACTGTATGTGCAGCACCCTTGGATGTGTGTTAACTAGAGCCTGATTCATATCACTGTTGTCGGAAGAAAATCTCATATCTCCAAACCGGTAACTTTACAGGACAAGGAAAAAACACTTTACTGTTAATGTAAGTCAATGGAACCCGACTTTTTTCCAAGTCATTTTGGGTCATTTCTTTTGGTCCATTCTTCATGAAATTTACACACAATGTGAAGAGTAACAGGCCTTTGCAAATTATGTCAAAAACTGAAAAATGTCAAAAATGGAGATACGGGGTTTTCTTCCAACAGCAGCGATACATTGATTGGCTGATAATTTTAGCTGATATTGATGATCAGTGGATCTAAGAATGTGCTGAGATTGAGCACTTTTTTCTTGGTGGCATCATCAGTTTTCCTCCTGACAGTGGGGTAAAACCTTTGACAGTTGCACCATTTGGGACACCAATGTGAGTGACTATACACTTGAGTTGGAAATACACTCTGAACTAGTTGAACACAAAACACCATCATGGTTAAAATAACTGCTAATCATATCATATAGTCACTAAAGCACTGTTTAGGTAAACATATACAATCAAATCCTAAAATATAAATATTAAATTATATCAGTCAATATTATTGTTCTAAGAATTTGTACATGCTTAAAATTGATATCGGCTACAAAACTGTCATATTGATCAGGCCCTAATATTGACCATGTATTAAGTAGTAGCATAAAGCAATTTTTGTGGTCTGTTCTTCATAGTTGCCCTCAGTAAACCGTGAGAGCTCCTCCCCAGTGCTGCCTGACTCCCTGACCACCGACCCTGTGACTTTGGTTGTGGTGACGCTGCTGCTGGGGGCATGGCTGGCCTTCTTGCTCACCTTCACACGAGTAAGTGTATTTTTGTCCTGAATGTATTGTTTTTTGTCTGATATCATACTTATATGATAGTTATATGCAGGGCCAGTTCTGGCCTTTTGGGGGCACTAAGCAGGATTTTGCTGCTGTAAAATGAAAGGCTAAGTATTAACAGTGCCTACCACAAATTACATATGTTCATAACCGGCTCATTTTGGATCGCTTTTAATTTGATTTTGTTTCCTGATCTAATAAGTTACAGTGTAAATAAGAGATAATGTCCAGGGGTCTATATCACACCACAGTATGTTATTTTCTTGCAGTTGTAAATGCTTTCTTTTTCTATCTTTGGCAACTCCTACTCATGTTTCACGCGAATGGCTGTTTGTCACAAACATCATGCTTTTCATGTGCCTGCACACAAAGATTAATCACAGCCTGAGTATCTAAACCTGGATTGACAGAGAAAGATATCACCCTCACCTGTTGTAAAATGAGTGAACCTCATGCTTCGTTAGACAAACCTCAAACCCACTACTTCTTGTTGTCCAACTACGAATGGCATAATGTTAACACCACAAAAAAAAAACTTTCATTTTTACCTTTTTTTGGTTCCAGAGGCATGATTAAGCAGATGATTGACACCATAATGGTACAGTAATAACAGAAGTTGTTAGAGGGCCCCCTGGTGGCTGTAGGGCCCTAAGCAACTGATTATGTCACTTAGTAGATAAAGACAGCACTGGTGATATGCCAGTTATGTGCAAAGCTATGGTAGAGCTTTAATTAGGCTTGGAATTTTATACATATTTTATATATCAGAACCCAAATACAGCCTGATAATACAAGACTGACCTACATGGCCAGCACCAAGGTTTGACTCAAACTTGACTGTTGCTTGACAAAATTCTGTCGACTACCTACTGGAAACCAATTAAATTTCTAATGATAGCACTTGTTTCGTTACTTTGTAAGGATAATAACAGGCATCATCAGATCAGTGTTCGAAAAAAAAATCTAAATTAATATTGTGATTATCAGCTCTGCAAATTCCACTTAAACTAAAGCTGGGATACATGCGAGCCAAAATTCTTTAAAGGTGTGAGACAAGCTAAATTTGAACATGAAATTTGAACCCATCGTCAGGCCAACAAATATTTGAGAAATGCTGTGTGAACCTGACCAAATTCAGAATAACGGGGTGAATGGTGAATAGCTGTGTCCTCTCAGGTTCGGACACAAGCTTTAAGCTATGGACGCAGCTTTATTAACCTTTGAGAACCTTGAATACGTTTATGGTTTTATTTCAGTATGAATGTCTAAACCAAGTTTCTGCCTTTTCCATCAGCAGGTCAGAAAGCCCTGGAGATCTGTCCAGCCAGTGGATTCTAGACCAATGACTGATCAGACAAGTCAGACCAGTCAGCTCATTCCCACAGCAACGGACACAGCCCCCTCATCCACTCTCAGCAGCAGCAACCACTCAAGTGGCTCAGTCTCTTCCAATCACAGTCAGCCTCTGTCAAGCAATAAAGACTCCAACCCACCAGGGACACCCAGCCAATCAGAGGGTGAGGAAATTTGACATATCCACAAGCTTAGATAATTTCATGCAGGAAAATACATTGTTCCAAATCAAAACACCTGAGGACAGGAAAGATTGTGTATCAAGAGACGTAAACTTATATCATTCATGCATTTCTGAGCAATTTGGCGTAAAAATATTCATATAGTACAATATTTAATGTATGTTTATAACAGATAAAATCAGACCATTTTGTTTGTTTTTTCTGACTATCAATAGTCAATTAACCTTGATACTTGTGCAGGAAGATCAGAGGATACTATAAAAAATACCAGGGTTCGTACGGTCATGAAAATCTTGGAAAAGTCGTGGAATATAGAAATTTGTTTTTCCAGGCCTGGAGAACTCATGGAAAATAATAAGTGCTGGAAAAATCAAGGAATTTCCTGGACTTTACCATTATGCGGTTCATCATCTCATCACATTTAAAGCACTGAAGAGTCTAGATCGCAAAAAACACCGAGACTAATGTATCTGCATGTGGACCAGCTTTACTGACATGTTAAAATGAATCTCGAATCTAAGGTGTAACATTTAGGACGCGCGTGGTGTGGAAGATGTTTTGACATTCAAACACTGCAGAAGACAAATTAACAAGCCAGATGTAAGAGGAAAAACACACCGCTGCTGCTTCTCACACCAAGACCTGCGTGACTAGCTTCTTCACTGTGAGTCAAACTAGGTTTATGCTGCCGCATTGTAAATGGTGTGAGGGTCTGCCCACCAAGAATGACGCTCTCGCGACGCATGGTCATGCACCCCCAAGTTTTTGTAACATGGCACTCGCTGCACACGGCACTTCATTCAAAATGACTGAATTTGAAAGGAGATTTGCTGAGCAGGTTCACCTCTACAGGCGCGTGTATGAGTGCAGTGAAAGAAACACTACTATAAAGGCTAATGCGTTTAAATGAAGTTCACACCGTTTGCGGAGTCTTGCGCGACACTCTTCTGCAGAACTGCACTCAGCCTTCACTCGGTCTGCCCCGCCGCAGCTAAACAAACATCACGTGCTGCATCTACATTAAGGAATGGCGAGTTAACTGCTGAGGTACACTCAGTGATTTGATGTTATAGTGTTTGTTGTACTCTGAGTACTCAAAGGTATGAACTGAATCTCGTTACATTCCTCTCTTAAATCCCGCATCAACTACGTTGCTAAAATTATCACTTAAACAGTATCACGGTATACCGGTATAGATGATATATCGGCCAGCACTATGCTAAATGTTTGTCATGGAAATTTCACTTAATGTCATGGAAAGTCTTGGACTTCCACTGTTTAAACACTGAAAAACCCTGAAAGAACGTCACATTAAAAGCTCTGAACAGTTTTAACCAAACAGTTTTAACTAAACTGCATATGATACGATTTTCAGTTTATTTTGACATGGAATAACCTGTATCATCAGTTGTTTTCTAGGTTTTGTGAAGATGCAGATGAATTAAACTGATAAAACTGTGCAAATACATATTATTAAGCATGTAATTCTAGAAATGGTAGTGTATTAATGTTGTGATGACATCAGAAATGAATGTAGTAAATGTGTAAATGTAACACTTCCACAAGTTTTAGTAACTCTCCCTCTCTCTTTGTGTTAAATTCAGCTCAGCCTGATGTGGTAGAAGTTGGTAAAATCTCCTTCGGCCCTGCTGAAGTGCTAGGACATGGGACAGCTGGAACGTTTGTGTTTCGGTGAGTGTGTCAGTCGCACATTTCAGAAAATCTAATGAATAATTAATGAATGCCCTTGTGATGTCATTTGTATCCTACAATCCCAGGCTAATGACATCCTAAGACTCAGTAACTGCATGGAGTACAGTGCAAACTGGCTGAGTTATTCTTTAAGTTATAGAAGGGTTAACGGATTTTTAAGGGCCATTTAAGGACTATGTCCATGCTATCACTCACTCCTTGAAACATTTTCAACTACAAACTGATTGGTTGTTTATTATGCTGTTGATTTGTGATTGGCAGGCTTCATCCCATTATACACTACCAATTTACTAACGTTTGGACTCACTTATATTCATTGATTATTTCCAAGATTTTTTTCAGAACAACAATAAGATATTAAATAATGTACTGTATTTGGGTATTTATAGTAATTCATCTGAAGTCATTTCTCTTGAAATTTGCTTTTGCATTTGAATTTTTAAATACAAGGTATTCTGGATATTCATTTGATCACAACTTAATGTCTGATATTATGCAACTCTCTTAATCATTATGGATCAGTTTATACGTGTATCTGCCTAAAATTTTATATTATTTAACTTAATTATTTAGACTTTTGGTCAATAATGTATTGCTGTGTGTGTGTGTGTGTGTGTGTGTGTGTGTGTGTGTGTGTGTGAAGGGGTCACTTTGATGGGCGGCGTGTTGCAGTGAAGCGGATCCTGCCAGAGTGCGTGGAGTTTGCTGAGAGGGAAGTGCAGCTGCTGCGGGAATCCGACGAGCACCCCAACGTCATCCGCTACTTCTGTACTGAACGCGACCGACAGTTCACGTACATTGCCATTGAACTCTGCGCTGCCACTCTCCAACAGGTGTGTGAGTGTGTTTTCTTGTGTAATCAGATTTTTCAGTATGTTATAGTGCATAAGACAGTGTAAGATGGTGTGTGTATATATATATATATATATATATATATATATATATATATATATATATATATATATATATATGTAGTTGCTGTCCAAAGAAAGCCATGTATCTCCATTTTTGTCGATTTTTATTTTTCTACATAATTTCAACACACCAGATGTCCTTTACGTTGTGTGAACACTTCATAATGAATGGCCCAATAGAAATGCTCCAAAATCAATCATAAATAAAATCTCTTTACATTAACTTACATTGAAAGGTAAGAGTGTAAAGTTACTATTTTGAATATACATGTTTTTCTTTGGACAGCAACGATATATATATGTGTGTGTGTGTGTGTGTGTGTGTACTGTATATTGAATTGTATATTTAATTTGAAGTTCAGTTTAATGTACTGTATTATAAGTCACAAAGGCAAAGCCTAAAGCATACAATGAGAGAACTGCTGCCCTTCACTCTTTTGAGAAAAAAACAAAAACAAATGAAATGTTTTCAAAAAATGTCTAATTTTTGTAAAATACTATATGAGCAACAGTTCTCTCATCTGTACTTTTACAGCTTACAGCACCACAGAAAAACGTCTTAGAAAATTTGGTAATGCTTTACTTAAAGTCTGTTACACAACATTTACATAAACGTGCCATTACAATTATATTTTCCTACTAATGTTAGGGACAAAGGCATATTTTATTTGGCTCTGTACTCCACTGTTTTGTACTCAAACAGTTCACATGCGGTTAAACTTTTACCATGTAGAAATACAGCATTTTTTAGATACAGCTGCTGGCTTTTCACTAATGTTTGGGACTTAGGGTTTTTCAGGTGTTTGTGAGTATTTGCTTCATTAGTGCAAGTATCAGAGGTTTCAGCATCTAGTCTTGATTCTAGGCTTTTAGTCACCTTTACAGTCTGTTTTTTGCTGTAAGAGACATTGGCCAAACCTTAGGCTTACCAAAATCAGCTATTTGAAAAACTATTACGAAAAAAGAGAGACCTGGTGAGCTTATTAGCCTCAAAGGGACTGGTAGGCCAAGGAAGAGCTCTACAGCTGAGGACAGAAGAATTCTCACCATAATGAAGAAAATCCCCATACACCTGTCTGACGGATCAGAAACACTCTTTAGGAGGTGGGTGTTGATTTGTTAATAAGGAGGAATACAAAGGCTACACTGCAAGATAATAATTAGGCACAAAAACAGTACGGCCAGGTTAGAGTTTGCCCAATACAAGATTAACTTATCATGAGACCAATACAAGATCAACTTGTCTCAGAGTGACGGCAAGAGCAAAGCGTGGAGGCGAAAAAAGGAACTGCCCAAGATCCAAAGCATACCACTTAGTCTGTAAAACATGGTGAGGCTGTTATGCCCTGGGCCCAAATTGCTGCAGTTCAGGAAGGGGCCTCCAGACTTATTGGACAGCGCTTCATCCTACAGCAAGACAGTGATCCTAAACATACCGCCAAAGCAGCAAAGCTCAAAACTGAAAAATTCTTAACCGGCCAAGTCATTCACTAGATCTGAATCCCATTGAGCATGCCTATCATGCTGAAGAAAAACCTAAGGGCACTAGCCCCCGAAACAAGCAGGAGCTGAAGATGGCTGCAGTACAAGCCTGCCAGAGCATCACCAGAGAAGATACTCAACACCTGGTGATGTCTGAGTTGCAGACTTTGAGCAATCACAACAGATTTACTGTACATTTCACTGCCATGTCTTAAACATTGTGGTGCCTTGAAATGTGCTTCTGTAAGTCATACCCGCATAAGTATGCAAGTACAAGTTTCACAACTGCCACATATGCAAAAATAGTGTATAGGGACTCTATAAAGAAAACTGTTTCACACTGTGGATAAATACTATTTTATGACTATTGAAAATACTCTGCACCAAATGTAGATGTGAATATTATATTAGCGAAATACCAGATTGGATGACAGCAGCAGATTCTCACAATAGATCGCAGTTCTGCAGATCCATGATCATGGGTTTGTATGCTAAGTACAGTTACTGAGGACACAATTCAAAACAAGGCTGTTTGAAAAGACAGCAGAGATCAATTCTCAGTGATGCCCATAGGGGGCATGCATGGTCTGTATTTTGTGCTATAGCAACGCTGGGAGTTGGAAGTCATTTGCTGCAGTAATCAGTGATTTGCTAACAGCTAGCCAATATTTGCTGTGGATAAAATCTAAATAAAAAAAATAATTTATTGCAAATCATCCCATGTGTGTGTATTTGTAGTATGTTGAGGACCCAGCCTGCCCATATACCACCTTGGATCCAGTGACTTTGCTGGAACAGACTATGTGTGGCCTCAATCACCTGCACTCCCTTAATATTGGTGAGTCTCCATCACCATAGTAGGTGTCCATAGCAACAGTGATACAGTAGGGTTAAAGGATTATGTATTCATGATAGCTTTATATAGATTTTGCTGTTCTGTGCTTTGTGTGCATTTATAAGCTTTCACCTCCATAACAGACCGTTTTTATTCAGTTTTCCGTTTCTCATTCCCTACCGTTATCTCTTCTCTCTCTCAGTTCACAGAGATTTAAAGCCACGGAATATTCTTCTCTCACTTCCGGGAGTGCTCGGTCGAGTGCGGGCAGTGATCTCAGATTTCGGCTTGTGCAAAAAGCTACCAGACGGTCGCCATAGTTTCAGCTTGCGTTCGGGGATTCCGGGGACTGAGGGCTGGATTGCTCCTGAGTTGCTTGTCAATGCCCCAAAAGGAAACCCAGTATGTTCCTATCAAAGCACAAACATCTCATCTGTTTTAAAGCCAAATATCCACCCTAAATGTAAATTGTAGAAATGTAGCCAAGGCATCTTTGGCGTCTGACATTTGCTTCACTAGTTTTGCACTGGAGCTACAAAGCTAATGTAACTTCTTTTAGCTTCTATCTTATATCTTTATGCAAACTCTATGCCTAAATCGTCATAGACTTCAAAGCTGAAATAGACTTGTTTTTGGTTTCGGCCGCTGTATGATAAACTGTTATCCATAAAAATAGACAAACACAGGTAAAATTCAGATTTTAAGATGGCTGCTGCTTTTGTTTTTAGTTTTTTTAAATATTTTTTTAAAACAGTGTCATGCAGTATCAGAACCTGTTTGAGATAACTCAACAACTCGATGTAATGTGATAATTTAGGCATGCAATGTAGACAGTGCTAATTGGTAACTATAACATTCATTAGACTTTAGCTCCTGTGCAAAACTTCAGAAGCAAACTTTAGATACCAAACATGTCTTGGCTGATCGACTCGGGCTAGCACAATTTTTTATTTGAATGATTGCTTTAAAGGCATTTGTTATAGTGTTATATTGAGCAGTCTTGCTGAAAAACAGGCTAAAGACCAACATGTTTTTAGATAATCAAATAGCACATTGTTTCCTCCTGTCTTTCTTTCACTGTTCTTCTTTTAGACAAGTGCAGTGGATGTGTTCTCAGCTGGCTGTGTGTTTTATTATGTGGTGTCCAGAGGACAGCACCCCTTTGGGGACACGCTGCGGCGTCAAGCAAACATCCTCTCTGGAGCCTATAGCCTGGAGCACTTTATGGAGGATATACACGGTCTGTTTGTGTGCACGTACATTTAATATTCAGATCTTTTCCAAGAAGAATCTTGGTTGGATTTTTTCCCCCTTTTCTGTTTATCAGCCAGTTTAAAGTACTGGAGAAATGTGAGAAGTGTAAACTTCTATTGAATCCTGTTTGAATTGAGTGCATTTTTGTGTTTCTGTGTTTTTTAGAGGATGTGATTGGGAGAGATTTGATTGAAAAAATGATTAGTGCTGAGCCGGAGTCCCGCCCCTCCACATCCTCTGTTTTAAAACATCCGTTTTTCTGGAGCCCAGAGAAGCAGTTGCAATTCTTTCAGGTTTGTATAAATTGATGCATTGAGCAGAATCTATACCAGTTTGACTAAAACTGAAATACAGTCCCCAATTTATTACAGCATCTGTCAGGAATTCATTTTTCATAATAAAAGCACCACAGTAAATCTGTAGACAAGAGTATTTGTTGACCCGAGCCAGCCTGTTACTGACTAGCCGCTGTCCATCATCGCTGTCCATGACGAATGAACCAACAGAACATGACGTGTTTATATTTGTGTTTACATTTGTTCATATTTTCATGTTACAGGATGTCAGTGATCGTATAGAGAAGGAGCCAGCAGACAGTGCTATTGTAGTGCGCTTAGAGACAGCGGGTAGATCGGTGGTCAGAACCAATTGGAGGATGCACATATCAGCGCCCCTACAGGCCGGTTAGTAGTACTGCAACTATCATGTCCTGTTTTAAAGTGGATTTTCACCAAAAATGCTTTGAAATTCTTATACCTCCTAAAGGTAACATCATGTGTCTACACTGTAGCAAAAAGCCAATTGTAAGTGTTACATTCCCTCCCAAATGCTACATATCTAATATCTAGATGCTAAAAAAGCTCCACTTCAGCTGCTTCTCCACTGCATGGTACTGGCACGACTTGACCCTACTCTAAATCTGTTGCCTGTTACAACATACGTACGCTAACATTAGCTACCAGGTTAGCGTACACTCTTCCGTCCCCATTTTTGGAGCAACCAGAATCGTCTCGTCGTCTGAACTCTGATGTAGTTTTTCCCCGACTCACCTTTTTTTCAGCAGTATTTTGTTTTGCAGCCATCAGCCTCTTCTGAACAAAATTTGCCTCGTTCACATCTCAGCAGTTTCATGAGGCGTCACTATGACGACCAGCTACATTGAGGGGGCGCTGCATCTGCAGTGGAAAACGAAGTAGCTGGTACCAGAAGCGAGCAGAGCCGAGTCGAGCTGCACCATGCAATGGCAAGCGGCTTTACTGGCTGTCAGTAAAGCCAAGACAGTGTATCTTAAAGGGGAATGTTTGACAATTTCTGCATAACTAAATTGTAGAGATGTAAACACAGCCATTCAGTGATTTGATGTGATACGGTTCACTATAGAGAAACTCTATAGAGTGGCTCAGATTTGTGGTGGTGATAGGAAACCAGAGGTCACAATGTTGACAGCACAAAGATTTTTATTTCCTATCTAGGCCAAACTTTAATCCTAAAACTGCCATAAAACGATGTCTCGGACATCAGGCAGCATATTCCTTACCATTTCATGTAATAATGTTATGTAAAGGAGCTTTTAGAGACGCTTTAGACGTCTTTTTCCTGTCACCACCACTGCGAATAATTCTGACTCTTCGGTTTCTCTAGAGTGGCACATTTCACATTAGACCAGTCTAAATAAATTTTATTTACATGTTAGCTATTTAATGATGAAGAAATGTTGGGAAATTGGTGGGATTTCCCTTTAATCTTGCTTTATTCAAATACTTTGAATACAAATACTTGAATTTGGATATGTACCTGAAAGGGGGTAAAAGGAATTACTGCTCTTCATACAATCCTTCAAGTAAAACAGGACCTTTATAATAGCCTTCAAATGAACTGCCACACATAAACTCTTGTTGTGCTTTGCTTGGGAGTGAATGCAATAAAACAAAAGGCTTTTTATGACTGACAAATCTCTAGACCAAAGATAATTTAATGTAATAAACAATGTTCTGTGAACATGTCTACTAACAAACAGAGTAGCTTTAGCGTCATCATTAGAAACTCATTTGAAATGTGTGCTGTATTCCTGACCACTAGATCTGAGGAAATTCCGCACATATAAAGGAAATTCTGTCAGAGACCTGCTCAGAGCTATGAGAAATAAAGTAAGTGCTTATACATGCACTCATTAAATCCCTTGTTTTTATGTAATAAAATGTTTTTTTGCAGTTTAATTGACTCATGTTTGGTTTGACTGTTTGAAGTAGTGACTTGTTCATTTGAGCCAAATTAAAACCCTCTCTTGCTGACGTTTGTATTTCAGAAACATCATTACCATGAGCTCCCACCAGAGGTTCAGACAGCACTTGGTGAAGTCCCAGAAGGCTTCGTGGGGTACTTCACCTCCCGTTTCCCACGGTTACTGCTGCACACACACTCTGCTCTGAGCATCTGTGCCCCAGAGAGACTCTTCCACCCCTACTACCACCATTAAACTAAGCCAAATACGAAAACGCTCTGCACTACCTCCTACGTCCACAGACGTGCATATGATCTTTTACTAAAGAATGAATTTATAGTACACTGATACGAGTGAAGAGGATGGGAAAAGTCTGGACATGCAGGATTTTATAGACACTTTTAAGTGATTCTTCACTTCAAATGATCACGCCACTGGTTCAGATCAAATGAATGTACTGCTGAGCCTCTTCCCTCCTGTGGAACTACTGAGATTTCTTGACGACAGAATGACGGAGGACTTTGGCGGCTACTTTTTCTTCTTCTTCTTTTTTTTTAAATTATAAACTTGCGAAACGGTTTTCAGCTGTGAGGATTATGACCCCACTGTATTTGTGCCTTCCGTTTCGAGTGTTCTGAAGCAGGTCTCGGGTCAGATTAGCTAAACTAAGAGTGCACTGGATGAAGGCCTGGGTCATTTTTATAGGACTTTAAACATGGAATACCAGGATCATTAATGGGCTCTAAAGTGTGCTCAAAGAATTTACAGCTGTTTTTATTGTTCAAATGGAGCATTTGGAGGGCAGTGGGTGCTGTTTTTGCCATGGCAGTGTAAAGTCATCGTGCCTCTGGCCCCTCCCAATGGCAGCTGGTGGTCTCCCTCTTGATATTTAATTAGGTAATAGCCAAAGCTGTGTGCTCTGATTTTAAAAGAGCATAGTCGGCATACCGTTGGTTTTAGCGCATATGATCATTTCATGTTAGCCTCTGAGATGACATCACCAAAAACTTGCCTGTCAGGGGTAGTATTCTTAATATAACCTTATATCTTCATAGGATATTCCAGCATTTTAAACCTAGTCTTTATCTGCTGCATTTGTATCATACTCTCAGTTACTATGGGCAATCAATTGACATTCATAGCCATTGGGTGGATGCTAAATACTAAATAAACATTTGTAATTCAAGCAATAGAACCAGAGGGAATGTATTGACACAGATAACACCACAACTGTGATGTAGTTGCAGATGATTACAGCTGTGATGTTCTTCACACTAACATACAACCTCGAGTGTTCTCTTGCTTTTTTACAGCAAAAAGAAATGTACACAAATAAGCCTCAAACTGCATCAAACATGCTTTAATGTTGGCAAATACACCTAAAATTAGTTCTCTTTTGCAGTAGGGAGCCATAAATTTGTTACAATATCAGGTTCAGCTCAGCTTTTTCAATACAGGGTGATTCAAAATGATTTATTTCACTTGTAACTCATTACAGAACAATGCAGTAAACTGTAAATGGTTTAATTGAGCATAAAGTTTATTATGTCATTTAACAAGAGCTCAGTATGAACCTCCTCCAGCTATACAGACAACATCAACACCATAGTCAAATTCATCCCATACTTGATTGAGCATGTCGGGTGTTGCTGCACTCACAGCCCTTTCACTGCGATTTCGGAGATCATCCAGTTATGTGGAACCAACAGCGAACGCTCTGAGCTGCTGGAGGTTCACTGCCGACGAAAATCACGTTGAACAGTTGTGACGGATTCACTCTGATTGAAGTGGAGAACGCAGAACGCTTCCTGTTCAGGGGTCTCATCTCCTCGCAGACTGAAGGGAGCCATCTTCCGGTGGCGTTAAGAAACGCTATGACCCCCTCTTTCAATTGGTATGTGATTGGTTCCTCGGCGCCTCACGGTTGTAATAATATGGCGCTTTGAAATTGGATGAATCTTTTTGAATCACCCTGTATTTACCGCTTTAACCTGAGTGATGTTTTATTCCAGCCAGTCTGTAAAGCATCTTACAGCTCATAGTGTTTGCCACTTTTTTTCTGGTTAATTCCAGTCTACTTTGGATACAGGTCAGATATTATCTCATAGTCGTTTCTCATATATCCGTTTTCTGTTCAGAAGCCAATAGAAGCCAATCAGATTATGGCTTCTACTATAAGTCAGTGTTTTTTTCTGAAAAGGCAGCGCTAAAATGATGGTCTATGGTAGTTGGCTGTATGGTACAGAATCAGCACATATTAGGTTGATGTAATGCTGTATTCCTTTAAGTGCATTTAATGGGACGACTGTCTGATTTTCAAAATTATTTTTGTCCGAATTATTAAGAGAAAACAAGGCAGAGGCTTTTATCACTTTGGTGGTAATCCTAACTTTTTTATACTACAAATCCAAATGTGTCATTTTATACTAGCGAAAGAAAGATGAAGTCAAACAATGGATAAGCGTTACAGGATGAGTGTCAGGATTTTTCCTGAAGAATCAACGAGAGTCCACTCTACTTTAGCCCAGCTGAAGATTAGGAGGGCCTGACTTATCCACAAAGGTCATTGGAGATTTGAAAGGAAAATCTTAATGTGGGCCATCTGTTCCACTTAAACACCAACAGTAATGCCAGTAATCCCAAGTGGGACTACAATTAACAGCCTGTTCGTTAATAGGCCTAGTTTTGGTTTGGACACTTCACACTGCCTGTGTAATTTAAGCAGACCACAGAATAAAACACCCATTTAGATCAACATAAAACTAAAGATACACAGAAGCAACTCCAGGCAACATATCAAATACACTAATATGGCCTTTGTGTTTGTTCAAATCCAGAAGAAATTTCAGAGTGAACAAAATTTTAATCAGACTTTTAAATTTGTGATTCACTTTAAAGAACAATGGGCCTCATTCACTATCCTAGGGTTTTTCTTAAACGTGTTCTTGTGAAAAGTTTTAGGAGAAAGTCTACATCAGATTCCTGACATGTTCTCAAACCGCAGAACTGTTCACCCCTTATGCTCTCGAGTGTGTGCAGATTCTGTTCTTACCCAAGAACAAATCCCAAAATCACCAATGTCAGAATCTTCATAAAACCTGTAAATGGATTTTAAGAAGAAATTTTTTAAGAATGGTTGGTGAATGAGGCCCATTCTTAGGTATTTTGGAGGGTTGGAGGACATATTGCAAGAAAACGTAGCGTTACACCTGATCATGTATAGAATTGCCAGTGGTCGATGAAGTATAACGCTTTGGTGCTCAGTTCAAGTTACATCCATGGCTTTTGTACACTGTAACAGTACCATTGAGCATTTACAGCTTTGATAAGATAACATGGTGTTAAAACACTTACACAACTTATGGAGCCACCAGTTTTCATCTTTTCAGACTGCTCACAGTTTTGGTAATGCAGATTGAATAGCTGTAGTACAGTTTACACTCTATGAAGGTATATTACATAATCTTACATTGCACTATGGGCCTCAAGACTGCATACAGTCTTCATATTGATCAATTCTATGCAAAACTCAAGGGCCTTATAGAATAGATATTATTCAGAAGCATGTATGTATCAGAGATAAAATATGCTAGTTTGTGATCAGCTCTCAACTGTCCTTGTAAAAGAAAAAGGCAGAAGCCGATCCTAAATCAGCATATGCATCACATTCTGGGTTTTATTATCTCAAATTACATAAGGAATTAAATTATAGATCCACACAGAACGATTGATAAAAGAATCTTCTAGAAGGTACAATTGCCTGAACCACCCAAAATGCTGTGACAAGTACACATTTTGCAGTGCCCTTATGTTTTGAACCCTCGCCCACTAGTGTCATACAGAATATTCAGAAAGAATGTTTCAAGTTATAAATAACCACTTGTTGCACTCATAGGATGTGATCTGGTGAATACCAACCAAAAAGTAACAAATGTGCAAAGAGAACATGTTTTTAAAAAGGCCCCCCCCCCTTCAGTCACTGTATTTTTTTTTTTTAGATAAATATTTTTAAATCTGGTGTGAAAAGAACTGCATTTCAACAAGACCTTTATTAATTTGGATCATCCATCAGTTTAATAAAATCTTATTAACCTGTTATTTCTCTAAAGCTTTTATACAGAGGATAGACAAGGCGACATCTAAAAGACAGTTAAAAAATAAACATAGAAAAAAAAAGCAATATACATGATGCAGCAGACAAGGAGCATGGTCACATTAAGCTTTCCCACCCGTGAGAGAAAGGGAGAACGAGTAGTAAACGAGAGACAGAAGGATGAGAGTGTGCAGACCCCGTGACGCTTACAGGGTTTGGCCACTTGAGCATTAAACAGCCCTCTGACACAAATGAGTCCATGGCCGTGTCTGATTAGCCATCTATCTGCCATCATGCGATCGTGTTGGTTACCCCGAGAGCTCCGGTTGTGACAGCCTAGCGAGCGGAGGTGGCAGCTGTGGTGGGTGCTGGGACTGTGTTTTTGCAAGCCATCAACTTCTCCACCATGCTGCGGGCGTAGCGCAAGCGACTAGCCAACTCCTTGCAGCAGCCGTACTCCTCGATCAGGCTCATTTTGTAGGTGCAGAACTCTCGCCTCTCGTTGATGTACGTCACTGCACCCATCAGGGGACACAGGATCAGCTTCGTGTGGTCCTGGAACACACACAAAATATATTGGTGGATAGGAAAGTGACCAGGGCAGATGGGAAAACAAGCTAAACTTCAGACAAAAGCACTATTCAGACTGGCTTAGTTTTACATGGGGTGGTGGGGTAATGTAGTCAGATTAATGCGGTGCCTTCACTCCAGAAACAAACAGAAAAACGTCCTGTGTGAATTTACAGCCAACAGTCAACATCAGTGCAGAAAAGTAAACTTTTACATGTTTTACTTTTCCACAGAATGTTGCCTGAGATTATTTCTATGGCTCATTTTATAGAAGGTCCTGTGATTTCTTTACATGTGAGTGCACAGATGGTAAAAATGACCCATATGGTGCAGTCAGACAGAAATAAAACTACATTACCCCACCTCCTCATGTAAAACTAATCTGCCCAAAGGCCTTGAGAGAAAGGTTTTGCAGCAATTTAGTGCGGTACATAAACTGGTTGCAATCAGTGAACTTCTACAGAACACTCACATTGAAAAATCAATGGCCAAGCATGTTTACAAGATATAATTGCCAAATAGGGCATTGCTATAGTTATAATGCTATAGATGTTTAGATTTGGCCCATATTTCAAACTGATTTGATTAACTACAGTGTAGTGTCCAGAAGAGCGGAACATTTAGGTGACTTTAGGTTCAAGTATCTGCATTTTATTCATTTTACTGCAGTTGTAACCCCACGTTACATTTATCTAATCCAAGTGAATCTAGGTCTCATTTTCTACAAGTTATAAATGTTTGTAATGGCATCATTAGATGTGTATGTGAAAAAATTGGATATCAGCATCAGCTCTCAATTCCTACACTGGCGCATCCATAATCTCAGCACTATTTTTAGGCAGGAATGTCCATTAGTTACCTTTATTAAAGAGCTTTAAGGCCTAGCCACACTAGCTTCATGACACAAAGGGACATTTTAGTGGAAATTGCCAATGTTTTGTGTCAACATGTGAATTATCACCAACCAACAGCACAACTGCTGCAGCTGCGCTAACCTCTGAAAGGCTGGTCCTTCACATAGCAGTGATGGTCCAAATTTTAGCTGTATTAAGGCATGACAGTCATTTTTCCTGACCTGACCATATGTTACCACTTAGGAGACGCATCATGGTACGCAGCTAGTTTCCCAAGCAGATTCGATTCAACATACTGAAATTGCTTGATAATTAGCTAATGAATTGCACCAGGTCTCTGCAAAACAAATGACAGTGTACTACTGAATTTGACAATATTTATGTTGTTGCAATTTCACATAATGCCTTTCTGAGCATATTGAACTTTAGGGACTGGTTCTCAAACAAGTCCTCAAGGCCCACACTTTCTCCAACTCCAAAGCAATGGGTGGGGAGGTTGAGAATCTGTAGAGACTGGCATGAGGGTACTCTTTGGTAATTAAAATTCAAGGCAGAACTGGTTAGACATGCTAACATCCTTTGGAGTCAATCACACACCATGAACAATTATCAGGACCAAAAGGTGTGGCGAAAACACTAACCTGGAAGAAGTTGATCTGTACAGTGCCATTGCTCAGATGGAGCACGATGGCGCTCTTTGTGCGGAACCAGTGCCTTAGGTAGGGCAGACGGGTCAGCTCGTCACCATCGCGCGGGGTTATGTTTGCTCCCGCCTTCAACAAATGCTCGCTCATGTAGTTTCTGAAATACTTCAGCAGAGTGATCTATGGGATAAGGGCAAAAAGCCATAAACATCAGGACAAGGGAAACATGCCAGTTACTGTCCAATACATTCTTTATTCATACTCTTTATGATTTGTCATTTGGCAAGCACACCTTTTTGGAGAGTGAAGCAGGGTAGGAGCGCACGCTGAGGTAGGATTCTGCCGCATTGCGGTCAATGTACTGCAGGCTGTCTCCGTCTTCATACATGATCAGACGAGTGGAGTCGTTGAACAGAACCCCGACGCTGTTATCGCACAACTGATACCCTAGAGAAGGACAGAGAATGAGCCAGTTAAAATAAAGCAAGTTTAGCTTTGTGACCAATTTCACAAGCAAAAGGACATTCATTTCAGCGGAAGTCAGTTTTGTGCCAACACGTGAATTTGCATCACCAACCAAGGGCACTGCTGTGGCTGCACTGACCTCTGAAGGGTTGGTCCTTCAATAGGTCTAAATTTTAGCAATACTAAGGCATGACCATCATTAATTTTCCTGACTACACATTAACACAGCTGCATCATGGTACGCAGCTAGTCGAAAGCTGGATTGGATAGTTTGTAGTTGGCAGATTAGCTAGAAATCAACTCAAGCAAGCCAGCTAAGTTTGTTCAATGACTTTCAAGCTACTTATTTCACAGAAGGCGAAAAATGGCATATGAGTTCTTACCAAGGCCATATTTGTCAGAGTAGTCGACCCATTTACTGATCCAGAAGATGGGGATACAGGCTGGGTCCTCAGCTTCCTCTGTTAGAAAAGCAAAAGAAATGATGACCAACTCATGCTTCAGTGGATACATACTAACAGACAACTGATTTAGGGATACAAAGCATTGCTGCTTTGTTCATCCCCTCATACCTTGTCTTACGAAATCTCTCTCTGACGGTCTGGCCGCAATAACACTGCTCAGCTGCTGCAACATGTCATTCAAGTGGGAGTCAGACTGTTCAGATCCATCCCTGCATGTAGGAATTCAACATCATTAGCCATAATCTATGACTGGATCATCATACACTGTGACTTATAAAACCACAGGAAAACTAAAGTCATAACACTCATCCTATCATAAAACTGTGTATAGCCTTCAAGCAGCCGGGGTGAAGAGAGACAAAAGGGACTCGGACAGTAAAAACCAGGAGTCTGACCTTTGTTGAAGCTCCTCCTTTTGTTGTGGCTCCACTTTCCCCGTCTTCTCAATCGGACTATCTGTTTTGAGAAAATCAATTTCAATGAGCTAAAACTCAAATTTAAACATACTCCAACTTTAATCAGTGAAGCACAGTTTATCAATCTGATTACTATTCAAATTCTGTCTTATTCAAATATGAAATAAAGGTAAACTCAATGTCGAATACTCAAACAAGAGCAAATGTAAAGCCTGTCTGTTCAACTCAAAAGTAATATCATCTATGGGATTCTTGCCAATGCCTATAAAACCATGAAACCTCTACTAGAGCAGAATGGAGTAATGCACAACATACCTTTATTTAGTGCAGTGAGAGGTCTGCGGTGCAGCCCAGACTCTAGGCTGGAGGGGGCGATGGAGAACCTTGGAGGCACAGTAAGGCAAGAGGTGGGGAGCCTGAGGGGGACATAGCCTGAGGTGAAAAACTCATCCGTAAGCAGGTCAGCCACAGAGGGTCGGAGAGTGGGGTCTGCATGGAGCATGCGGCGAATCAGTGTAGCAGCCACGGGATTAATGTGCTACAGAGAGAAAGAAAAGCAAATGTTAACAGTTGAGAACAAAAAGGACCCAAAAAAAAGCTGTAAATCTAACTTGAGAAGTAATACAATTTTCCTTATGGCCCATCATGTATGAACTATACACCAAGTTGAGTGCTATGCATTAATAATTCATGTAGAAGATCAAACCCAAATATTTTCTGTTGTCAAGTGCTAATTAAAAATTCATTTGTACGATGCAAAAATGTGAGAAGTATGTATAAACTACCTCCGTTACTAATCACTGACTAAACTAGTGTAGAACTGCATTTGTAGCTAAACAAGCCTACTGATGTATAGGCAGAGGCTTTGGCTAAGCATTGTTGTTCTGAATTATTAGAACCGTTACCTACCCTGGGAATCGTGTACTCGTTTTTTTTGATGCGGACGTAGGTCTCCTTAAGGCAAGACGTCTCAAATGGAGGTTTACCAACCAGCAACGTGTACCTAATAGACAAAGACAACTGTGAGCAGCCTTAAAAATGGCACTTTGAGGAAAAAAAAATAAATAAAAATATTACTTAAATATTACTTTTTGGCTTAAACACACTTGTACATTATCCCATAAGTAGTTGATCAGCCAAGATGTGTTTGCTCAAAGACTGCTTACTGGTTTTTCCAGTGGGGCTAAGGGACTGAATTAGTATGTAACGGAAGCTTATAAACCACCATCTAGTACTGAGGTAACCACAGAGTTCTTAAATACCTTCGAATATTTGTGGATTCTGACCCTACATGACATACTGGTAACTAAAAATGGAAGTAAAGTAAATCCAAATCTAAGGAGTTTAACATTCTGCATAATTAAGATGTTAAGATGTAAACAAAGCTATTGAGTGGTTTTATTGTGAAAGGCTTAGTTCCAGAGGACAGAGTTGTGTAGAGTTTCGGTGATGGGAACCATAAATGTGAAGTGTTGAATACTACACAGAAAATTAGGATGTTTTATTCATGAAAATTGAGAAGAATTTGGTCTAAAATGTACATCAGCCATTCATGATGAAGTACATCCAGAGTGCTGTATGACAAATTTCAAAGACGACTTAGGTATGCAACATAGTTTGGTCAAGATATGTTCACAATTTAGGACCACCATTCGCATTATACCAATTGGTGGTGCACACATCTTTGTTACTGATTAGCTGTGTAGCTCCAGGGCAAAACTAAAGAAGCAAACTGACACCAATCATGTCTTGGCTGACTGACTGAATTTGGGAACAAGTAGAAAATGTAGAATTATTTATTTACCAAATTATTGTTTTTAACATCAATAAAGGACAATATGTAAATGGTAGCTGCAGGGCCACACAATGCAGTGACTGAGGGTCATACAGAATCGTATTAGCATCTACTGTTCCAATTACATTTGATATTTAATTTTAAATGGGATACATTTACGTCTAAATGAAAATTCAGGTCGGAAAAAGTAGAAATTCTGAAGTGGACTTACAAAATACAACCCAGTGACCAGACATCCACTTCAAAACTGTGCCCTTTTTTACACAGCACCTCAGGGGCGATGTAGTTTGGCGTTCCACATAGGGTCTTCTTCCTCTCACCATCAAACTCAATCTTAGTAGCCAAGCCAAAGTCACCTGAGGGGTTGCGAGAAACATGGGGGACAAAATGTGGCTTAGAGAGAGCAAAGTGCAGCACATGTACATAGAACTTAATTTTCTGTGTCAAAATCTTGTTAAAAGTCATCTGCTTACCAATCTTCACCTCCATGTCATCATTAAGGAACAGGTTGCCGAGTTTAAGGTCACGGTGAATGACCCTGTTATTGTGCAGGTAGTGGACACCCTGGATGGTCTGGCGCATGAAGTACCTCGCTTCAGGCTCCGTCACGGCCTTTCTGCGCTTGTGCAGCTCTAGAAGAGACTGAAAGAGGACAAAGTGCAGTACATCAGGTTTAGCGACACATACGGACCCCCAACACCTCAGAAAGTCATTCAGGTGTTGATGTGAAATGTGCCATTCTAAAGAAACTTAGAGAACTGTTCACAGTGGTGGTGATGGGAACCAGACGTCTGAAGTGTGTAATACCTCAGACTCCCCTCACTGAAAGTATGGCCACTAACCCTAGACATTGTTCTACAGTAGGTTTTTCTAAAGCACTTCACATCAGACCACTCTGAATGACTTACGTCTTAAAGAATGAACCAAACAGAAATTCTGAAAAGTTGGTGGAACTCTCCTTTAAGCTGAAGCCGAAAAGAAAACGCAGAATAAATTAACCACTGATGTCGACTGAAATAATTCGAAATGGCTTTAAGTTGGAGTTAATTTTACGGAAAGAAAGAAAAAATAAGTTTCCAAAGCAAAAAAATCTTTAAAATTACGTGTGACGTCACGTCCTCACATTTAAAATCCACACCGCTCACAGAAGCGAGAGCGGAGGCGGTCGATGACCAGTTTCTTTAAACTCACCAAAAACTCCTCATTTACCTTCTAACAGTTAACTTACTGAGTAATTTTACAAAAGACCTGCGATATGATTCGACCTACGCGAATAAAACACAACGCCAAACCTTTCAGGAGAAGCCGTTAGCTAAACTGGCTAACGCTGACTGAGGAATTCGACCGTTGGTACGAGGCTTGTTCGAATTTTGCCGTTCCACCTTAAATGGTGCAGCAGCAGCTCCACTCTGGCGACTGAGGCTGAATATAACTGAATAGAACTGCTGCACCATTTAAGGTGGAACGGGAAAATTCGAACAAGAAGCCTCGCACAGTGGCTGAGTTAGCGTTATGAGAGATTACAAAGCTTTAGCCAACTTAAGGCTCAACAGAGCCCTCCTACCCTTCTCCGGCAGATCTCCAGCACCACGAATACGAAGTCGTCGTCCTCGAAGAAGCCGTGAAAGCCCACAACGTGCGGGTTGTCGAGGCTTTTGTGGATGGCGATCTCCGTGCTCATCTTCTCCTTCTGGTGGGGCTTCATCAGCAGCGACTTGGGCACCACTTTGCCGGCGAAAACCTCTTTCGTGTCCATGTCCGTGATCTCGTAGCACTTGGCGAAGCCGCCCTTCCCGAGGAAGCGGCCCCTCATGTAGCGCTTCATGCTCCGCGGATCCACCAGGATGTCGGGGATCTCTTTGAGGGGCGCTGACTTCGGGTCGACCTGAGCCTTCGCCGTTGCAGCGCTCATCTTGACGCAGTTATCGAGTCGGAAATCCGCAAATCTAAGCTATACAAAATGTAAACGCGATAGAATAACGTTACGGTGTTTTCCGCTAGTTAACGCTGGCAGGCAGAGACCAAGACACGGCGGTCAGCTCCGTTTCGACTGAGAACCAACGGGCGATGAATTCGAACAAAAACTCCGCCCGAAAACGCGTCTTCTTAAAACGTTTTAACACAAACCGGTATGGAACATCTTAACCAAGCCGCTTTCCGTCACTTCTACTGGATACACGAAATAATCGAGCTAAAATGCGGCTGAAATTCATCCACAGACCCGCCGCCGCTCCCCGCTGCTGCTCCGCGTCTCACAGCAGCGCTTCAACACAACATTTTTAAATTCTGCCCTTATTCGTTACCGCCGCTTCTGATTGGCTCCTGACGGAGCGCCGCCTCTGATTGGTTCTCGCTGTGCGCCGCCTCTGATTGGCTCTCGCGATTTGAAATCCAGGCGACTGCACCGAAGGATCATGGGAGCTGTGCAGCTTTAAAATGCTTTATAAAAGTCCTTCAAGATAAATGAGTTTATTATTAAAACACTGCTATCCGTCTATGATTTATATACCGGTCAAATGTTTCATTATTCTTATTTATTTCATAAAAATTTTTTTTTCATAAAATTCATTTGAATGTGTTCAATAACATCTCTATGTTTGGAGCTGTACGTTTACCCCTGCACACGATTGTTTAAATAAAATTTAAAATGCAAAAAAAGTCCTTCAAGCTAAAAACCTTCCTGCACTTTAAATAAAAAAGAAAATAAATACAACATTTAAAAAAATGTTCTGACAAAATATATGTATTATCGTTTTACTAATTTTGAAAACATTTATAATGAAATACATTCACAATTTTATTTATTTTTGTTTAATGAGATTAATGAGACAATCAGAAGGAGTCCACACTTGCAGATGGAAACAAGAATAATAGATGTAATGTAAGTAGGTCTGACAACAACGAGAATAGTACTCACTGTCTGAAGAGACTCTTAGCGTTGTCCCTTTTCATTTCACTTTATGCAGTCATATAACTCCAACAACTATATACATTTTGACAGGGGGTAATTAGATAGAAGAGTATACAGCATAAAATACATTCACAATTTTTATGCCTACTTATGTGTTTATAACTGATCAGCTCATGAGACTAATGTAATTTACTTTAGTTGAATTGTTATATTGTGCAGCACTTTGGCTGACACCTGTCTTTTAAATGTGCTGTGTCAATAAATGCGACTTGGCTGTATAGTATAATAATGAAATCTAACAATCCACCATGATAAAAATTAAATAATAATAATGAGACAGTTTTTCTGGCTTTCCTAACTAATAACTGATGACGTGTTCTTCAATTTATCGTCAGCTTAAGTTACATGTGGTGAGAGTCTTCCACCAAAATAGGACTGCACAGTCTCCAAAACCTTTCAGTAGAACATTTAGACAATGTTTGTGTCGCAATATATATTTTTCAAAATGATTTAATTGCATAATTGAATTCAGAGTGGTTTGATGTGAAATGGCTATCAATTATTTCTTTACAGTGGCAGTGATGGGAACCAGGGTAACAATGTCTACATCCCATATATAGCCATTTTATTTACTATCCAAAAGCACCGGTGAACCGTTCAGTTGTCTTCTAAATTTTTGTTGTCCATAGAAATACAAGTATATCCACAACAAAAGCAACAGCAGCCAGTGGCAAAAGCAGTGGACAGCAGCGAGAGGAGCGGCAGAGCAGCAGCGATCAAACAGAGAAAACGATAGAGTGCGAAGCAGAGCCAGCGTGTATTCGACTACCGCTCTACAACGGGGAAGTACCCTGGGAGCTGTACTCCAGTGCAGTTACAGATAGTTACCCAGCTTTGCAGCTGGACAGAGGTGGACACAACAATCCAGCTGTGCTTAGCTTTGGATGGAAAGCACTCCAAGCGCTCATGGGCTTGCTGGCGAGCAGCATGGTGACCTTGCAGCGTTTACTGTGGCTCTCCAGCAGTACTAATGGCGCTATCTGTCAGGAAGCTGCTCCTGGATAGGTGAAGGCAGAAGGGGGAGTGAATAAACGTGCTGGTGGCAGAGTTAAGCCCTATGATCTGGCAGGCCTATCCCACCTCTGACACCAGTGTTGTGTCGCTCAGAAGAGTCAGGTGAGGCCATAATTTAGGCGCGAAAATGATCTTTATTAAATGAACAAGGCAGAAAGGATACTCAAAAAGCGACTGAAAACAAGAGGCAGGTCACTCCTAGCCCACTTTTTCTCTTACAGTTACTAACAGAAACTCACTGTAACTAGCCCCCAAACCTGGCACAGAATAACAAAATAAACACATACTTTTAAACTAACAAACAGCAGCATGAACAACAACAGTAAGTCCCTTTTTTTGGAGGGCCAACCATAAGCCTCCGCACATGTCTACTTGCACTGCCACGCTGAGCTTCTCGGAGCCAGTGCCAGCCAGTAGCGGCTTGCTACACTACTATCATGACATAACGAATGTAATTTCAATAAAACAATGTTTGTTATGCCCTGATGATGACATAAATAGCTCGAGATCTTGAGAAAACAAATGAAAATTACTTGTTATCACCAAAAAAAGAGTACGTGAATCCATGGCCCTTTAGGGTGTCCATACTATGTTGCTGTTGCAGTTGCAATGTACTTTTTTTACTACTACTACTTCAGTCTTTTGCACAACTCATGTTGTTATGTTTTACTTTGTGTCTCATCTTGTCCTCACTTGCATATTTTGCACTATTGTGTGCTCCTGTATGGTGATTTAGAGCACTGTAGTGCACAGCCTTGTTTCATTGCATTACGTAGTCTATGTCTTTGCCACTTGCACTGTGTGGTGCAGTAAACAGTGGTTCTGACTTGCAGGCTATGTTGCACAAGGTCCTGGGGGAGCGTTGTGTCATTTCACTTGTATATCGATGGGATGACAACCAACATTCTTCTCAACGTTCTTCTTAATCTTCTGTACATCATCAGCTCAGATACTGTTTCCAAAGTTGCAGAGATGTTTCTAAACCACTGCATCAAAACATTTCATAACATGCAAGGTCACAGGCCAAAAGTCTTTCAGCAGCCGGCTGTGGGCTATTTTGGGAGCCACTACATCGTTTATCTTCCAGCACGAAAATAACCATTGCAATTCCTCACAAAGTTGTTCTGCACAACTTTTAGGGCAGCTTTGTTTTATTGAATTGTTCCAAAAGAGTCCATAACATTTGATGCAATGTATAAGGGACATAAGTCTGCTAATATAAAAATGACACATAACCGCAAGTGACATGATGAAGAGCGAACTGGTAAAAGTGGCTTAAATTGGATTTACTGCCCAAATTAATTAAATTTTAGTTGTTCACTTTTTAGTGAGGCCTATAACTAACATATTTCTCACAAGTCTGCACAGATCACACTCCTAAACTGACCCGAAGGCAGAAAAGAACAACGCTCCACCTGGCACGCTCAGTCTGCAAACACAGCTGCCCTCTCTCTTTCCTTAGGATTAACAAACTCCTTTGACGTGACGTCAAAAACAGCTGTACAAATTGCTACTTTAAACCTTTGAAACAGCAAACACATTTATTCTAATGATACATGGTATTTTTACATGCACAAACACACTTAGTGCCAAGATAAATGGTTCTAAATAATGTGTTTAGGTGCTAACATAGGACTATATGTATTTAAAAGAAACAGGTTAAGATCCCTGGGGGAAACCAGGGGATCTTGACAGGGGGTACGTTTGCATAAGCGTGTGCGAGTGTGCTGGGCAGCTGAGATAGAAGGAGTGGTGAGTTAAAACAGCCAGATTGCCACTTCTTATGCTTGACCACCACTTATTTAAAAGCCCTATTTTGTCCACTTGACTGTTTGAAGTGTCAGCTGTAGTTTAGTTTGGATAATATCAGCTTTGTTCTGTGTGTTTTTTTGCCAGATTTGCTCCAGGATTTCAGATTAGAATGTTGACATGTATTTATATGGGAAAAGCTCCAAAAAGGCCTATCTAAATCTAAATAAACCTGTTTTTATATGGACTTCTCAGTTTTAGGTGATATATCTGATAATAGAATGAAAGATTATGAAAAGATGAAACGTCTGGACTTGAATGGGTCTCTCGTACCCTTTGAACCCACCTGAGTTCCCATTAAGCCATTGAGTGTGTACATGCACTCGTAATCCGATAATAATCAGATTTCTGCAGTTATCTGATTATTCAAATGGCCATGTAAACAGCACACTCTGATTTCTTACATCAGAATAAGGTCTAGAAATCTGATTAAGGAATACAATAAACAGAGCTGGATCTAGATCAGTAATCAGATTTTAGTGCATGTGAACTCTTACTCTGATTTCTTTCAGATTTCTCAGACTGCGCATGTGCAAAACAGACCGCCATACAGGAAATAAGCAAGCAAGTAATCAATGTGTTTACATGCATTTGAGTTTTATGTTTACGTCTTCTTCTGTGAGTTTTTTTGGCTGGTTGCAAAATGGAAATTTGATTACTGTCTGACTCATGTAGACCCGGAGTTTCCCCATTATCTGATTACTCAAATGCATGTAAACACATTGATTGGATTACTGACAAAATCTGATTTTCTGCAGTTATCAGATTATTAAGTGCATGTAAACGCACTCAGTGTTTTATTTCAGTAAGTTGAGAACGGGGAACTATTATTAATAACATTTTTCAACATTTTATGCATTCAATCATTCATCATTTTCCTCTTCTGAAGAGCTTTCTGCTGGTGATGTGAATACATGCGGTTGAATGTGTCCTTAAATCAGTGCATCAGTATCTACTGCATTGCTGCGTGCACAATCACAGAAACAGAATCAAAAACAGAAACTTTGCATGTTAATTTATTGTGATCTTGGCGATGCCACAGCCATCCGTAAACAGAAGTCCTAGAGAGCATAATTGGCCTCGCTCTCTCCAGGTGAGTAGGAGGGCCCTTCCTCTCCAACCATCACTCAGTGAAACGCTAGCCTATAGACCACTGTAGTCGTGTCATCATTTTGTAGTCGCGCCATGCTCTTATGCCCATAATAGGATCTCCAGATCTAAGCTTAATTTGTCTATGACCAGAATGAAAAGGGTTTCCAAAAAATCGCCTCTATCGCACCCTGTGGTAGATAAAAATGTTTAGAACCTGATATGTTTTGTCCTGTGAACAATCTTGTCTTGAATACCACTGGATCCTCTGAATTTTGTCATTAAAGAGTTGTAATATGAATTTTGCTACACGTAAGCTAATGCTACTGCGCACTGAATTGATGTAGTTACACTGGCAGCCTCCTTC